GCAAAATATGTCGTATTCGTGTCAAAAATGACTTAAATGTGTCTTTTCGTGTCGTGTCAAATCTTGACCCATTTATTAAACAGGTTATGCGTGTCGTGTCATATTACACGTATAATAATCGTGTCGTGTTCGTGTCAAAGGTCTTAGACACGATTAATAATCGTGTCGTGTTCGTGTCAACCCTAATCGTGTCCCTATCATAATCGTGTCGACACGAACACGACACGCCAACACGAATTGCCACCCCTAGTTTCTCCCTCAGGTATGACTTGATTTCGGGGATGAAATCCTTTTAAGTTGGGGAGATTGCAATGTTCCTGAATTTTGTCATTTTTTAAATTCTAGAATTTTCTGATTTTCGGGGGTTTTTATTCTCTTTCTCGTTTTGCATGCCGGACATCGTGGGGCGTGTTGGCTGTGTTCGAGAGTTGGGTGGGACATTTCCCTGAGTTCAGGACTCTTGGAAATGCATTGATTGTCATCTCGACTTTTCTCTGTTTTTCGGGTCGGATAGTCCCGGGTGGGACCCGCTACCGGAGTCGTTGTGTACGGGAATTTTATCTTGGGTTCATTGCATACTATACATATTTATTTTGTACATATTTAATGTGGTTGTGTGCCATTTTTTATAGATATATGCATATATGCGTGTGTAGTGGGAAATAGAAGGAAAAAGAAAAGTCAAAAAGAAAATTTTGTAGTGGGACCTACTATTAGAGATTTTTGTGATTTAGAGACCAACATTGGCCTCATTCTCCCTCTCTCACCCGGCATTAGCTCTCTCTCCCTCTTTCCTCTTCATTTTTCTTTTCTTTTTGGCTTCAAGCTTCAATCTTCAATTACTTTTTCATCTCTTGGAATTTTTGGGCACCGTTTGCGGCAAATCAAAGAACTTGTTGAGACCTACGCTTGGATAGGAGCAATTCACACTTTTGGCCATCCTAGGAATTTCGAAAATCAGGGCTTTGGTTTGGAGTTTTGGGGGTTTTCATCTCCATTGAGGTAGGGGTGTTCTAATACATGAATTCTTATATCATTTGTGAGTTAATTCTTTATAAATTGTTGAATTGCATATTTAATTACTTTAAGTTCTTGCAAATGGTTTAAATGATAGATATGGAATATATGTGACTAATTGTTAGTTGTTTTATAGTGTTTAAACATGTTTACATGAGAATGATTCCATGTCTTATATGCTTGTTAATGCTTGTTATGCAAAGTTATAGGTAAATGAGAACTTTAATTATGTAGTTTGGAAATTTGCTTTATATAGCATGTGTGAGAGTTTTATGGTGGAATTGATGAATTGAAGTATAAAACATTCCATGCATTCATTGGGATAGAAAAGGGGAAAAAATGTCTTTAAAACAAGTGAAATTGTTTTGGAAAAAGTTTTCTAAAAGTGTTTGCGAAAACCCGGACGTCTAGGAAGCGCCTAGTGGTCCGTGGTGTTAGTGTAATCTAGAGGGGAGTATGGTTGAGCCAGGCTGGATGTGACGCCTTGGAGGTGCCTTGTAGTCGTGGATGGTTAGCCAATCCTCCTTTCGTGACGCCTTGGAGGTGCCTTGGGTCGGATTACGCTAACGGTTTGAAAGTTGAAACGGAAATGTTTCGAATATGGGGAGCGACATTTGCATGACATTGCATTTCATTGGAATATATGGTATGTATGTGTTTGGGTGACAATTGTTGTATACTTGTCGCTGTGGTTGTTACTATTTATCCCTATGCTATGATCCCGTTTTCTTCTATCTATTCCTTACGTGGATTCACGGGGTCATAAGAAGTGTGTCTTAGACACTTCCCACTGAGCGTTTAGCTCACCCCATTATTTTTACATTTTCTGGTTTGGGAAAAGAAGTGACGGGCGACAATCCTCCACAGTTTTAGTTGGATTAGAAGAATGCATCTTTTTGCTACCTTTTGTATTAGGCCTCATTTTGTAAAATGTTGACCCAAATGTATCATTTTGTAGCATGTGAAATATTTAGATTCATTTTGTATTTGGTCATTGGGGAAATGTAATTATGTTTATTTACACTAAATTATTTAGTGTATTTCATGTAACGTGTTGTAAATTACGTCAACGTTGTTGTTGTTGTTAATGTATTAGATGTGGAAATGTATTTACATATGTACATGGGTATGGTGTGTAGGGTGGTTGGTTATCAATGTTGGTGTATCTCGGACAGTGAAAATTTTGAGTGTGGATAACCCATACCCAGTCAACGTAAAAAACCCATACGAGTCGACCGGATGACCTGAACCAGTCCTACACGTCGACCGTTATCTTGGCAGTAACCTTTTTACTATATACTCCCAAACCAGTCGACGTGCAGCTTCCTACATGTCGACCGCTATCTTGGCAGTGGGTTTTATACTGTGCACGTCCCAAACAAGTCGACGTGTGATCCCCATACATCGACCAGTTCTGTGTAGTAAACATTTGTGACTTATTTTTCCATTTTGCCCTTAACCACTTACTCAAGTTTATTGTTACACATTATAAGACTCAGTAAAATGCAATAATTATATTTTAACCATGAAAAGACGATATTGCCTCGGACCTTATCTTATTTTTTATGTGACTCAAATAAATGACTATTATGCCCTTGAGTCTTAAACCACTAGAGTTGTGACAAATGACCTTGTTATCCTTATTGGACTTTTAAAATATTAGTTTAATGTGAAAGGACCGTATTACCCTCGGATGATTTTAGGTCGGACAAAGACCCGTTTAATGATCCGAACCCAGTGGATTCGGGTCGTTACAATACCATTATATTATGATACATATTATATATATATGATGGGTGAATAAAAGAAGTTAAGCAAAAAGAAGAGTATTTATTGCTATAATGGTGGAGGATATGCGGCTAAAAGTGATAATGAAGTAGATATATATGTGGGGTATATTAAAATAGGTATAAGGATATTTTTGTCTAAAAAATATATGAAAAAACTCAATGTCCAAATTGCCACACAAATCTTAATTTATTACAACTCTAAAGAATTCTGAGATAAGTTACCATTCATATTATACATTCATACTATCATATGTATGTCATGCACCTATGAGGCGTGCGCTTGGCATATCCTTTCAAGGCGGGGCGTGACGCTAAAAGGCTCTTCGGCATGTGTTATGATATTGCTTTTCTAATATTGGTATTTAAATTTGTGCCCATATCATGTTTGAGACTGTTAATATTATTAGTTTGGAATAGATTATAACATATCAGATTCATATCACCAAATAGATGATATTATGTGATTTGATATTGTAGCAGAGGAACTAAAACAAATTTCTAAATTTCTCATAACAATTTTTTTGTTACTGATTTATACCCAAAATACTGCTCAACAAAACGATAGTTTTGATATTGACAAAAAATATAATGTCTAAAACACATAAAATGCCTAACGAGCCATAAGCTTCCCAGTGTTGCAAATATTTTCTTAAAATATGTTATCGAAACTATGAAAAATATGTTATCAATCGTGGGAATTGTTATGGATTTTTAATGTCTAAAATGTAATTATATAAAATTAGTCTTAATGTTTGATTGATTATGATGCTATAAATCACTCATGACCCCATCACCCCATTCTTCTACTATTACAATAGTTATTTCTTAATCGAGCACTTAATTTATTTAGGAAATGATGCACTGGTGTTTTGTTTTGACCAGCTTTAAAGCTAATAAAAAAAGTTTTGTTTGACAGCTTTGACTTTTAAGTCATGCCAATTATTATTATTATTATTATTTATTTTTTTAACGAAAAAAAAACCATATCATTCACAAGGAGGGCAAATTCTTTTGATTTATGACATTTACTAATTAAAACCAAAACCAAAGCAGAAATTGAAGACTTTAAGCCGGCCAGTCAATTGTTAACCCATTTTTGGATGTGCTTAATTTAGTGGAGAACTACTGACCCTTTTTCTTGATGCAAGAGAGGTGCACAAGTTAGGCATGTTAAACGGACAAGAAAAGTTAATTCAGTTTAATTTATTTAACATAAATGACTTGGGATATATAGTTTAACATGAAGTAATTACCATAATATGATCAGATGATACTTAAATTTATTTTGTCATGATCAACTCCCGTATTCTATAAAAAAATTTGATAAAATAACAATGGGATAAATAGGAGGAAAAATGTTAACAAATTATTTATGTTTCTATACCCAGAATAAAAGAAAGGAATAATAGTGGTAATCTTTTTCTCACCAGCCATATCAAGCTCATACTTTCAAAAGGGGAGATCAGAGATTTAAGTCTCCAAAAATATTGTGAAGAGAAAAGAAAAAAGAAATTATTGTTTTCTTTTGCGATTGTTAAATGCAAAACTAAAACAAAAATTCCTAATTAGTAACATTTTTATATTTTTTCTTCCAAGTCTCAATTTTAGGATGACAGCCCGAACACTGTAAAAGGGTTAGAGACTCTCTCTCTCATTCTCCATTCTATTCCTATCATTTATAATTAATTTCTGAAATAAAAAATCAGATTCTCTCTATTGCACAAATCACTTAACCAAATTTGAAGTTTCATTCAACAAAATTTTCTTACATGGATAGATACATTTTGTTGAATGATAAGTGAATAGTTGTACTGTATGATCAGTTTCCATTGATTGAGATTTTGTACATGCATCTGACCTAACCTTAAAACTGAACACTTACTATTAACAAAAGCAAATTTGTTGTTGTGTGTAAAACCAAGAAAAAAAAAAACAAAAACAAAAACAAAAAACTGAAATTGGGAAGACTCAAGTGTTGGAATTAGATGACCAAAAGCTTTTTACATCATATATATTTTCCATCACTTACCAACCCAACTTGGAAAAATGTTGACCCATCTCTCATGTCTCACATTTTCCTCTTCCTAATGTTCCTATATAAACCCACTAACCCATTCTCCCATTCTCATCAATATCATCCAATCTCAAGTATACTTCTCAAACTTCCATTTGAGCACTACTTGAGAATTGGAAATGGCCGGTTTCAGGTATGCATTAGGAGTACTCATCCTACTTGTTACTGCTTCTATGTTTGCAGTTGGCACAGCCAACAAACACATCACAAAAGGGACACAACATTGGAGCTATGGCTTCAACTACACCGACTGGGCTTCCAAACACCTGAATACTAGTGCTGATTCCAAAAGGATTGTTGTTGGTGGATCCGAAAAATGGCATTACGGCTTCAACTACTCCGATTGGGCTATCAAAAATGCCCCCTTCTACCTCAATGATACATTGGGTATGTCAGCATTATTCATTATCGTTCACGTTTGTTACAAATTACAATATCACGACTTGCCAGTTGTGTAAATACTATCCACTTTGCACTCTTCACAGTTTTCAAAACGCATTTGTGCAAAAATTAAGACGCATTCACACGTATAAGTGGAACCACCTCTCCTTTGCAAGTTAGATATAGCAGTGCAAATTAAGTTTCACTGTTTTTGAGTAGTTTGATTATTTTCCTTAGTATGATAGGATTTGCTTCTCTCAAGAAACTAAAGAATTACTAACATTTTGTGATGTTGTTTTGTTTTTGTTTGTTTTAGTATTCAAGTTTGATCCACCAAATGGTGGTCCTACTTCATTTCCTCACAGCGTTTACTTGCTACCCAACTTTTGGAGCTTCTTAAACTGCGATCTGAGAAGAGCAAAGCGGGTGGCAAGCCCGACACAAGGAGGGGGAGAGGGATTCGAGTTTGTGCTGAAGAAGTGGCAGCCCCATTACTTTGCTTGTGGTGAACGTGATGGTTTGCATTGCAAAAATGGAACCATGAAGTTCGCTGTGTTCCCATTCATTCGTCGTTGGCATGTCTGATATATGAAGAGAGCTAAAGCTTGGGAAGATGCAGTGCTGCTTGCTGATTCTTTTCGTAGTTTTCTTTCTACAAACAAATAATGAGCTAGAGTTTTAAAATTTTCTTTTTTCTTCTTTTGATAGCTAGAGAGTGAATAAAAGATCATATATATTGATGACTAGCTTGTTTGTAACCCTTCATTTACACAGCTTGACATATATCTTGTAAAGTTGTAATAGAATTTAAAGATATTCAATTTGCTTCTATTTCTGTTAAACTTAATTAATGAGAGCATAATATGGTACTTGTAGCATGAAATTTATTCCTTAAAATTGGAAATAAAAGAAACCTAATTTATATTAAAGTTTGAACAGGCACAAGCATATAAAGATGGCTTATCTTCTTTCCAACTGCAACAATCAAATTTACAAATTGTGAATGTTTGTATTAAATATTTCCTTATAACACTTTGATGAAGAGGTCATTAGTCTTCTATAGAAGAGAAAGGGCATAATGGGTTATTTAGTTGATATTTATAATTAATTTAGAAATTGTATTATATATGTTCTCATTAAGAAGCAAAAGTCATACACAAATCAACATGTTCCACGAGTTACACTAATGCTCCATTTGGTTTCTAATATGTTTGAATGAACACAAAATAAGAACTTTACATCAATCAAATTTCATTTTTTTTTCCAGGTAAATATCAAATTTCAAATTGTACAATAAAAAAATAAAAAAATAAAAAGAAATTTAAAAATGATTGCTGATTGAAAAAGAAAGTGAAATGGTAATGATCCTGCCTAAAATCATTGTACTTGGAATCTTGCATCAATATTGTGAGGACTTATTAATGAATTCTAAACGAGTTTAAAATGTGTTTTTTGATAACGAATTTAAAAGGTCGAATAGAGAGATTTTACTAATTGGTTGACTAGTACTGCCATTAAAATGGTGATCATCACATCACTTGATATATTATACAAGTTGTTTCTTACCCAACTTTATTTTTCTTCCCAGTGCTTTCAGTTCAAAGCACAGCACATTGGCTTAATTTCTTCTGCAATGATGCATAATTTTTAATTTCTTGGACTTTGAGCACATTTAAGTTACGATACACACACATTTTACTGTGTTAAATCTTACACATTCTTTTCATGGACGGCACCAACCAAAGCATATATCCACATCCTTATTTGACTAGAGACTCGGATCCTGGAACAGACCATCTTGTTCCGTCTACTTTGGGATTTCAACCTTTTTGTAACGTGCATCCCAATCCGAAGGGACATGACACATAACAGGATTTTGTTCCATTTGACTGTCCTCAAGCTTTTCAAGGGATAAGAACAAACTTGTAGCATCATTGCTGTGATAAACATGGTTTTGTTATGTGCAAAATAGACTTAAATGTGTTAGTTATGGAGAGTGACATAATTCGATAATATTTGGGAAAGAGGAAGATCAAAGTTATCGTGGATAAAGTTAAGGAAGAATATGGTAACATCTGATTTGATTGAGCGGAATGTGGACATAAAATTCGTGTAACTGGTTTCAAGTAGTTGTGATTGTTGCTATGCAAGAGATATCTCAAACTCAATTGTATAATGCTATTAAAGAGAGCTCTGGCATAAAAAGATAATGCTATTAAAGAGAGCTCCGGCATAAAAAGAGTCACGAGCTCTTCATATTTAACCAATAGATTGAGAGATGCATTAAATAATTTATTTGACTTTTCATAGATCTCAAAAAAATGTAGATCTAATGATTAAATGTGGTGAGCTAACTCATGAGTCTTCCCCTCTCTCAAGAACATTCAAGAAGGTTATCACTGTATGCTTAAACGCATGCATGTTGAGTCAATTCATGATGTCCTCAATTTGCTACCCGAAATATAAAACCCTTTATGATATGTTTGGGAACAACAAATTGGTGTCTAAAATACTCCATTCTCATCTCAAATTCAAGACCTATTTTCCATCCAAAATTCAAAATTCCATTTGAATGCTCTCAAACACAACAACATTAGATTAAACTCAACTAGGGGTGGCAATTTTTACCCAAATCCATTAAACGGCTCAAACCCGTCCACTAAAATTATATCATTTGGGTAATCAATTTAAATTAATGGATAATTAATGTGTAAAAAATGGATACCCATTATATTCATGGGTAAATAATGGGTGAAGAGCAAGGTCGACATAATAGGTTATTTAGTTGATATTTATAATTAATTTACAAATTGTATTATATATGTTCTCATTAAGAAGCAAAAGTCGTACACAAATCAATATCTTCCACACGAGTTACACTACTGCTCCATTTGGTTTCTAATATGTTTGAATGAACACAAAATAAGAACTTTACAACAATCAAATTTCATTTTTTTTAATATCAAATTTCAAATTGTACAATAAAATATCGTTGCAACAAGCAATAACCTTATTTCTAATTCGTGATAATGTTAATCTATTCGTCTGAAATTAATTACCACAATGGTTTTCCTAGGAAATTTTTAGTTTGTGTTTGAAATAATAATCCACACTCTGTTTTTTTTTTAAAAAAAAAAAAAATTAAAAATTAAAAAGTGATTGCTAATTGAAAAAGAAAGTGAAATAGTAATGATCCTGCCTAAAATCATTGTACTTGGAATCTTGCATCAATATTGTAAGAACTTAATGAATTCTAAACGAGTTTATTTTGATAATGAATTTAAAAGGTCGAATAGAGATTTTCCTAATTGGTTGACTAGTATTGCCATTTTAGGTGATCATCACATCAATTGATTGCACGTGTACTGTCATACTAGTTGTTTCTTACCCAACTTTATTTTTCCTCCCAGTTCTTTCAGTTCAAACCACAACACTTCGGCTTAATTTCTTCTGCGATGATGCATAATTTATAATTTCTTTGACTTTGAGCGACATTTAAGCTACCATACCACCCGTTTTACTGTGTTAAATCTTACAAATTCCTTTTATGGACGGCAACAACCAAAGCATATATTTACGGCCCTATTTTATTGCTGGTGACTCGATCCTCTTCAGTGAAACAATCCATCCTGTTATGTATAGTTTGGAATTCCAACCTTTTTATAAGGTGCATCACAATCTGAAGAGACATGACATGGGATAAAATTTTATTCCATTTGACCGATTTTTAAAGAGATAGGAACAAACTTGTAGCATCACTGTTGTGATAAACCTGGTTTTGTCAGGTGCAAAGTAGACTTAAATATGTTAGTTAAGGAGAGTGACATAATTCGAAAACATTTGGAAATAGGAAGATGAAAGTTAACGTGGATAAGGTTACTAAGGAAGAAATATGGTAACGTATGATTTGATTCAAGTAGTTGTGATTATTGCTATGCAAGAGATATCTCAAACTCAATTACGTGATGCTCTTAAGAGAGCTCCGGCATAAGAAGAGTCATTGAACTCTTTATATTTAACTAATTAATTGAGAGATGTATTAAATGATTATTATTATTATTATTATTATTATTTTTCTTCATAGATCTAAAAAAAAAAAAAGTAGTATCAATCTAGTGATTAAATGTGATGAGCTAACTCATGAGTCTTTTTGTGAGGAACTCTATTAAGAACATTCAAGAAGGCTCTCACTATATGCTTAACACATGCATGCCGCCGATCCATGTCCTCAATTTCCTACCTGAAATACAAAACTCTTTATTCTATATTTGGGAGCATCGAATTGGTATCTTAAATACTCCACTCTCATCCCAAATTCAAAACACCAATTCTGTTTTCGAACCAAAATTCAAAACACCAATGGAATGCTCTCAAACACAACAACATCATATTAAACTCAACCAACCCGTTTTGGCATCTTCTAATTTGACAAGGCCAGCCAGCCCAAGTTTGGGTGGGATGGTTGGGCTTAGATTAAAGACTTAATTTCGGGACTGTCAATGGTAACATATGTTGAATATAGGTTGGGCTTGGGATAGGGCTAAACCCAACCCAAATTAATAACAGGTAACTTTTTGAGTAGGGATGGGGGCGGGTTTGGAGCGGGTTTCCCTAAATCCCGCCCCGCCCCTTTTAATTTTTGTCAAGTCCATGCCCGCCCCGAGACCCGCGACGGGTTGAATTTTCATATCCAACCCCGCCCCGTTAGGAAATACTGTGCCCCCGTGCCCGCCCCACTAACAAATTTTTTTCTCCCACTTTTTGGAACTTAAACTCCTGCTATTTAAATGTGCAAAGCCTAGGAATGACACAACATAAATAAAATTATGTATTCTAACAAAAATAAAAAAATAACATGCACATAACATAATTCAAAGAACATAATAAACAAAAATAAAAATTTAATACAACCAAATCACAAGAAGTTCTAAGCTCCAACTTCCACCATAACCAAAACAAAAGCAAATTTAATACCAAGTTTACATCCCAAATTAGTATTGTACCAAGTTTACATCCCAAATTAGTATTGTAAGAGATGGGTTGGGTAAGCCACTAAAATAACTTATTAATATATATATATATATATATATTAAATATAGTTATATGCGGGGCGGGGCGGGACCCCTAGGATATGTATATTGAACCCTTACCCGCCCCGTGACCCTCGACGGGTACAAAATTTATATCCATATCCGTCCTAACGGTATAATAAGTGTTCCCATATCTGTTATTAACGGGGCGGAATGGGGCAGGGCGGTAAAAATGGACATCCCTAATTTTGAGGGAGAAGAGAGAGAAAAAAAGGAGAAGAAAGATGAGTGTGTACGGAGGAGATAGTTGGGGAAGAGAGGCACAATACAGGAAGAGAAGAGTAGATGATCTCATCGTCGATGGAATCGATGCCTCCTTATCAGCATCTTCCTACAAGAAGCTCTCTACCGGAAAATTTGCCTGCCTCGTCTGCCCACACAACCCCATCCTCGATACTCCTCTTATGCTCTCCGTAAGTAAAACCCTATTTTACCTCTCTCTAAATATATATATATATATATATATATATATATATATATATATATGCTTGTGTGTGTTTTTTCCCGCTATATGGAGTATTTGTTCTTGTAGGGCATGAATGAGGAAGCTAAAATTTGCAAGACATGTGAAATTTGAAGGGTTGGAATTTTCTTCATTTTCTTTTGTTCTGTTTTTCTAAGCAGCCAAACGGAGGTATTGCATATTATTAATTGAAACTATTTAATATTAATTTGTCTATCTTGGTTTTGGGTGGATGGATGGATGAGTTTTGCATGCACTTCAATGGGGCTAATTTGGAATTGCGAATCACTTAGCATAGGATTTAGGCATGGTTATTGTCCAATTTCAATTCTTTCGTTTCATTGTATTCAGATATTGAGTTTGACCCAATTCCCTGATTCACATTATTGAGTGAGATTGCTGATGTACATTGTAATTATTCATGTTCAAATGATGTGAGTCGTTATACATTGTAATCATCTTGAAGGGTTAAAAACAGTACCGCAGCTGGTTGTAAAGTCAGTTCTTGCTGTAATTTGAGTTTAGTGTTCTTTCTGTCCTGTTGTGAGATATGCTTTGGAAGAGACAGATCACATTGAAGTTTTTCCAATTTGGATGGACTGACGTTGAGGTTGAAACAGTGAAAAAAGAAAACTGATTCCATAGCTATTTGCGTTTTGGTATGAGCATTCTGGAAGGGGGTAAATTTTTTTCCCAAAATGCCAAGTTTCATGTGCCAAACATTTTCTTCTTATTCTTCTTTTGTTCTTTAATAAGATAAAGCACCAGAAATTGTGATTTGAGTTCTTATAGGATCAAGTTTCTGTTCGGAGAACAATAAATAGAAGGTTCTTAGCACATCAAAAGCTCAATTAGAGTCTGACGGTAAATGGATAATTTGTGCAGTATAATGATACTAAGTTAATAACCTTTAATTCTGCTTCCAAGCTTAAAAAGAAAAACCATTCTTCCAATTAGGACAACCGCATTAGCTTATATTTGTGTCACTGCATCAGCCTACCTCTACCAGACGACATGTTTTGTATTCCTGTCCTTCTCCTCATACAGAAATGGTTTACTTTCTTGATAAGATTGCTTTCAATTATTTATTTATTCTTAAATTTCAAGATTCTTCACTTGCTGGTAAAATATCTCAACAAGCCAGCACTTGGTTGTAATGGTTGCTTGAATAACTTGAGCAAACATCCAAGCATGAGTACATGCGGATAAAGTTAGTTCCCATATCGCAAGAGAGGGATAGGGAGAGGAACAATAATCAGATGCTCGTGTTATTATTTTGTGCCCTCATTTCTATAACTAAATTATTGTATCTTGGGAGTTGGGCAAGCAAGGAGTGAGGCATATATGTCTTCATTTTGTGTATTCGAATTCTATTAGTATTTATTAGGAAATCCCAATTTTAATATTTATTAGTTTGATTGTTCAGTGGATTGAGGTTTTCTGGTCCAAAGTTTCTTCTCCTAGCATTGGTTCCCTGATTGTTGAAAACCTTTTTTTGCAGATGCATATCAAAGGATCACGCCATCGCGCTGCAGAGTCCAGGGTTACAGAAAGAGAATTAGCAAGGCAGGACGAGATGAACAAGAGAATAGCCTTGTCAGACTATTCTACTTGTACCACCAAGACTAGTACACCTACCCAAAGATGTAGATCGTATAGCAAGCCCTTAATTGAACAGACACGGAAGGCTGCTTCTGAGATACTTTGCAACAAAACTTGTCCGCAAAGTTCTACAAACGGAAAGCACGATGTCAAATATAATAGTGGTCTTTCTGCCAGTGGTCCATTATCTTCTAACACCAAGGACTCTTTTCTTGCAACAGAAGTTGCTGGCAAGGCTGTTGTCCAGCAACAATCAGATTTTCGAGACCGAAGAGAGAGAGAACTCAAGTTCACAGCTGCTGGTTGGAAGCGGGATTGCCATGGGAGGTGGTTCAGAGATGAAAATGTGAATATCTTCTGTTGCCTAAAACATTTCCAAGTCATTGATACACATTGTTTGGCACTTCTGGACTATTGCCTTTATAACTCAATGGAAGTTTATTCTTGCAGGTTGAATTTGACTCTGATGAAGAAGATCCAAATGTCTGTCTTGCTTGATAAATTAAGAGGACGGGCATAAAATTTGGTGTTCATAAATGTATGATTAGATCGTGTGGTCGATGGTGTGACAGTTTGATCAAATGGCTCGCCGAGACCATGCTTGCTCAATCATTTAATGACCGCTGCAACAGAACTATATCCTCTCTGTGACATGCTTTGATGGAAAAGGTGAGCGTTAAATAATGTGGCAGTTGCTTGATGGTGGCTCATAATATGCCATCCCATGACATAACAGTTCACAGTTACGGTTGATATTTTGATGTAATTTTTGAACTGATTGACCTGAACTTGGGCATGCCCTCACTGGATATGTAATTTCAGGGTGTGTTTAGCAGCGCCTGGATCCTTTGTTGTAGGAGAAGTGCCAAGGATAGTTGCTTATAGCACGCGACTGTCCTTGGCACTTCTGCTGTTGTAGTGGTGGTGTAATTTTTCGACTCATTATTTCTGTTTTTCAACACAGTTACTTATGCTCTTCAAAACATTTATTTTGTTTTTTCAATACATTAATTTGTGTTTCAACCCATTATTGCTCATGGATGAACAAAGATTTTTTCCATTACATTAACATGTAGCCAATTTCAACAAGATTGAAACTCATATAGAATAAATAATTGTAGTAATTCATCTACTTATGTGCTCTTTGACAATTATGAGAATTAGCTAGTAGAGAAAAAGGTTTGTAGGTTTGTCCTCAGATAATGGCTACGGAAAGTCTTCTCAAACCACTGTTTTCTCTTTAACCAGCGGAATCAAACTCACATCTTCAAATGTTCCTTACCAGAATTTGTAATTTTTTATTGAGGTGCACTACAATTACTCTGGAGTGTAATCATATCAAATAATAATATGTATGCAATCTAAAGACTCGGGGTATGCATATAATTAGGATTAAGTGGAAAAACAAATAAATTGAAGACGTTGAGAAAGATCTACACCAACTGGAATCAATTAAATTTTCCTACATTTTTAGCCAATGCTGTGTTCTATGCAGGGATGAGAAGTTGCAAAATAATTTATTTATTTTTTAATTTATTTATTTTATAATAAAGATCGATTACATAAAACAAGATTACTACAATCCCTGGCCGCGAAGGCCTCAATATCAACTGGGATACAAGATAAAACGACATCAGTATTAAGATGAACTTTCGATAGCTTTGCAACTCAATGATAACTCATTGCCATCCCTCGGAACATGAAGAGAGATGCTGAAGGCAACCTTGATATCAAACACAAGGGCCTGAATCTCTGAAGTGCCAGAAGCTTTTCCAGAAACAGCAGTAATCACAATCAAAGAGTCGCATTCAAACCAACGAGATAAGCCCTGTAGACAGCTTTGATATGCAAATAAGATGTATATTCGAGCGTTTACTAACATTCTTGGTTATTAGACAATTCAAGACCTCTCAGCTGAATTGATCCCTGTAGACACATCCTTTGTTAACTTGATTTAATGGAAATTATGGAAAATAAAGAAATATATATATATATCTCGTCCCTATTAAGACAGCTCTGCCCTTTACCTGGTAGCTTCAATGTAGAGGGTGAAGAACAACTCAAAAACAATATATATATATATATATATATATATATATATATATATATATATACATATCATCTTCACTTCAACATTTGAAAGAAGCCTATGAAGCTCTCTTGACAGTCCAATCATTAACCATGTCAAGATTTAACCTGAAATTCCACAGGCCTAAATATTTTATTTAGAGAACCAACATATATACAAATCTGCATCCCCTACCCCTCGGGTCAAGTAACCAAGCCAAACAATCCCAGTTAATGCTGATTACACCCGAAGTGCTACCAACTAAGCAGGTTCATGCCAATTCACATGAAGCGTCAGAGAATCACTTGCAAGTACATCTAAACTAGATACATGCTTTCTTAGAGAAGTTTGAAGGTGCTTTTGCAGAGAGTCGGAGACTGCAGAAAACCACATCTAGATATTGCATCTCAAACCCTATAAATTCATATTGACTATTGTTCTTAATCCTTGAAAACATGAAAATTATTTTATACATCATTTTTCTAATACACTCAACCACAACTCAGACTGCTGCATTTAACATACTACAATCTTTGCATTGATGGGATTCCTTGCACACAACAAAGTTCAGCGAAAAATTCTGTCCCATAGCTTAATGGTATCTGAAATTATACGCCTTGTGGCAGAACGTCAAGATCTAAACAATGTGAGGCGACATCCGAGGTTGGCATTCATAACAGCTACCAACAATAATAGACTCACATCTTAAAAAATGTGCCTCGTCTGATAAACAAAGACACGCGGTTATTAATTGAGGTCAGATTTTTTAACATGAATTTCTTAGTAACTTCTTTAGCTTTCATACTCCACCAAGTTAACATCAATAATTTATTTGTCAAACTATAAATGGTCAATATAAAAAAGAACCATATTTTACCAAAAAAAATTAGGTTTTGATTTATTCATTGTGTGTCATACAGAATTTACTTCTCAAATACCAAACCCAAATAAAGTTGAGCTAAAATCCCTTATGATTGAGAACCAACCTAAAAAGGATAAGATCTACTGTAGATGAATCTTCTCACAAAGAGCTAAGGATCATTACAGACAAATCTCTTTTAAAATTTGTACCTAGTTCTTAAGTCTTAACAAGAAACTCAAAAACATCAATAACATGAGTGACAGCCCCCTTATTTGTGTTGTAATTTCATCTAGAATAATCTAAAATAAAACAAAAAAAACGCTTTTTATGAAGCTCAAACATGCCATCTGATACACATGCACTACTGTTTTGCTTACCCTTAATGTTCTATCTATGCAACTGTATCACAAGGGTTTAGGTTTTGGTTTCACGTACAACCATGTTTCCTGGAGTTGGATTGGCATAAACCCTTTTCTTAAAGATTAATGGAAAAGGTGTTCCCAAACTGAGAAATGTAATTATGAATCCAAGGGTTAAATGCAAAAAAAACCCCTGAATTATTGACTAATTAGCAACAAAACCCCCTGAACTACAAAAATTGCAAGAAACCCCCTGGACTATACATTTTTGTTGCAGATGACTCCATCCGGCGACTCTCCGGTTGAATCTCACCGGCAAAATGATCATGTGCCATCACGTGATACAAAATATTTAACTTTATGACCATATTGTCCTTTATAAGCATGAAAAGACTCCATTGCCCTTCTTGTGACCATTACCATCATCGCCGAAGCAATCCATCGCCACCACCATCATGGCCGAAACAATCCACTACCACCACCATCAAGCACAATCACCACCTCATCTATGGTCCCTAGCAATCCAAACGCACACATCAGCAACCTTCTCTCTCCTCTCCTTGTAGACCAATCCTCTTCAGATTGTTCATCAATGATTTCACCCGCATCGCAGACTGGGATTTTGGTAAAATTCAATCAACGGTTTCACCCTCCGATTTCAAAAAAGAATAGAAAACTAACAAATTGTAATCAAAATGGCTAAACAGAGACAATAAACAAAACAATATGGAATAACACTGGGTTTTTTCCCACAGAATTTAGAAAAATCAGTAAAGCAGCCGTCAGTCCTCCGAGCTTGTTGCCGCCGCAATTCTTCATCACAGCCGAGAGCTCCACCGGCCGAGCTCGACGGTCCATCTCCGCCGCTGTGCAGTTCATCCTCGCCGGAACAATCTATAATTTTCGACGGATTATTACAGTACCTTGTTCGCTGGAGTTTCATTAATCTGAACCTTGTCGCCACCGGTCCGCAATCACTTATCACGCCAACTCATACAGCTTTGGCTAGATTGCACGGCGGCTGGCGAGCAAGAGGGAGACTCGGTGGGCTTGTGGCGTTGCACCGGCGGGCAAGGTGGTGACGAGCCTGCAAAGGTGCAAGGCTGTGCTCGGCTCGACAAGGATGAAGATGGGCTCGGCCGTGACGAAGAAATGAGGTGGTGAGCTCGGCCATTGATGGAAAAAGATGGGATCGTACTCTGATCTTGGTGGGAATGGAAGTCAAGAATCATCCTTAGCCTTTTTGGGTTGAAAAATTAGGGGTTTTCATGGAGAGATGTGGAGGAAAAAAATTGGCCATATGAGGAAAAAGACTGTCGCGGTGTGGGGCGTGCAGTTACCGGTGCGTGTTGAAGGCATTAAATTATGTCGTCACCACCACTGTTGCAAATCGATTTATTGATGACGATTTGGTAAACCCATAACCGCCACCTGCAAGTCAAGACTGGTGGTTGTAGTGATGTTGTAATCTCTGGTACCACCCATACCAAGTGTTGATTCAAACCCAAGCGGCATGAAGGTGGGTGATGAAAGGTCAAATTTGAAGGTTTGGTGGTTCAATTTATCTTGACGGTCAGTTGACGTCTTTCTCCGATGAGATTCGATACGATTGCCGTTGCAAATTCATCTTTGTCGGCGACCACAAACCCAAAATCAATCACCCAATCACAACACCCACACTCAACCCAACCAATTTAACCACCCAATCACCAATTCGGATCAGAGAGATTTTCATGCCGGCACTGAGCTCCACCATGACCGAGGGCAAGATTGTGTCGTGGGTCAAGTGGGAGGGTGACAAGCTCTCCAACGGCGAGAGTGTAATCGTCATCGAGTCCGAGAAGACCGACATGGACGTCGAGACCTTCTAAGACAGTTACTTGGCCGCCATCATGGTCGACGAAGGTGATGTTTGTTGAGTTCCTCATGACGGCACACCACCATCATAACACTCAAATACACAATCAATACATACAGTCTCACTCATATATACACAAAATGCAAGTCAGTCATTTTCCTATCCTCTCCAAACCCTAATTTATACACAAAATCATATACATATATACACATCTATATATCTATATCTGTATACACACAACAAACATATTCCCGTCGCTCCGCAGTCGTGCGCTGCCTTCTTTGGGCTCGGGTCGATAGTGGATGAAGGTCAATTTTAAAAAATTGCGTCATTTTATTGGAAGGGCAGTTTCGTCCTCTTATTTTCCGGTGGCCTGAGTGGGCAAATTGCAACAAATTTATGGTTTAGGGGGTTTCTTGTAGTTCAGGGGGGTTAGTTGCAAAACCCCTGTAGTTCAGGGGGGTTTTTTGCATTTAACCTTGAATCCAATGAATGAAATAGAATAATCCAAATCACAAGGATTGCAACAATTTCTTTATATTCATCTTTGCCTATAGAGAAAAATTACACTTTTGAGTTATAGCCCATAAAGAGCTATGACAACCATTTCACTATACTATTGTTAGAAGAAATGCGACAATACTTAATATTTCACTAGCCCATAATGTTCTACCTGCATTAGCATGCTAGCAAATATCAATTAGCTACTGAGGAAAAAAGGAAGCAGGTTCTTTTAGTAATACATTATCAATTCTTGGCACAAAAAGAAAAAAAAAAACATAAAGCTACTCTGTTGTTTAGTTCAACAATACTTGCATGTTTTATACATGAATTAGATACTGAGGAAACATGGATCAAGGGGTGAAATGAAGGAGCATGATGATGATTGATGATGACTGAGGAAACAGAGAGGAAGGAGACTGAGGAGTCTATTAAGGAGCATCAGCAAGACATGGTCATGGGGTGAAATGAAGAATATGAAATAATCTAGGAGCAAAATGTTCCTGAACTGAGAGGATGAATCAGATATATTATCATGTTTATCATATGCCACCATTATTATCCCAAAAGGGTGGGCAGAGGACAAAAACACTACTATGATTTTAGTGTTTTATGTTACTGTAGAAATGATCAATGCTAATACAGAATTTAAAGTGAAATATTCTTTCACCCAGTACCTCTTGTGTTGGAGCCTTAGAAAGTGGTAGAACATTAGATATAAGCTCTTAAAATTATCTGTGCTCATTTATAGCACCAAAGAGATCAAATTCTTTACCAACACCAATACATAGATCCTTCAGCCATTTGAGTTATGGCGAAACAAAATTTTCTATCCATACCAAGGGACACATACATGGAACCGGGAAAACACCTAGAATAATGGTAATTAGGATGACAGACACAATAAAGTAGTTATTTGTTTGTGGCGAACCATAATTTTTTATCCATTACAAATTACCAAGGGACACATGCATGGAACCAGGAAAACACCTAGAATAGCGCTATTTAGGATGATAGAAAAAATAAACTAGTTATTTGTACCACAGGATACATCCCTTCCCCTGCAATTCTCCATCAGGAATGTAAAGCAAAGTGATAAATCACCTATTAATGCAGAGCTATCTACTTAAGATATAATTCTTACTTGAATTAAAGTTTAGGAATTACTATCATTTGATCTCTTCCAGCAGATCTCCAGATAAGGCCACAGAAATTTAAGCTAAAAGAAAAAATAAAAAAGGGCAGCCAGCGGCGAAGAAACTTCTACCCACAAAAACCTTACAATTGTAAGATATACGCTTAAGTTTGCATGTGTTATGTAATATATAAGAAAGTGAAATCTGTAAAATACCGTCACTCTTCAAACTCAGGTTCAAGCAAATTATGATTATCCTATATATACCAACCCACCCTAAATTAACTCCAACATTGAGAAAGAGATCACAAGTATTAACCCATTTCCATTGAGTTCATAAACAAGATCGAATTGGCCTGAGACCCACCTTAGAAAGAATTGAAGTTCATAAGTAATGCTTCAATAGAGAAGTAACAAGAAAAAGAAGACTAAAGCTAATCAGAGAAGTGCATATATAAAATGATTTTACAATGTAAAGCAAGATTTTTCTCAACCAAACTCTACTCTGTAAGCTACCTCATTAAGTAAAAAAGCTCAGCATCATGCCTAAGAAATACTCCTGAGGAATGCTACAAAGTCACTTTTTTAATGTGCACAATTGCTCAAATTATGAATTCTGTTCAAAGTAGACATTCATATATCGTGACAGAGTTTAGAGCTAAATTTAAATCATAAGAAATGTTTTAGACAGAATATGGATGAGCAATACCACTTTCTTTAATTAAAGACTATCTCGTCTTTGACATTAGACCAAAGTTAGCTTGTCTCATAAACTACAGGAGAAATGGGATTAAAAGACTAGGAAAAAGTACATTCTTACAGAAAACCAAGTGTCTGAAAGTCCTTCCCTACTCGGAGCCTCTTTCATCTTGATGAAAGACGTTGGTATAAATCATCAGCCAACGCCTGCCTCAAATTTTCTCCAAAATAGTAATAGTCCTTCTCACTCTCAAGCGCCCTTGCCGGAGAGCCACTCTCCTCCGGCTCCTTCCAAAGCTCTGGCTCAGGCTCCCTCGCAATCTGACACAAATTATGCAAAACACAACACGCCACAATGGTCTGCGGTGCATGGTTGAGACCCACATTCAAGTCCTGAAGAATCTTCCACCTTCCCTTAAGCAACCCAATGGCTTCTTCCACCACCTGCCGCCCCTTCATCAACGCGGCATCAAATGACTTCTGAGGAGGCGTGCCAGCACCATTCCAAGCGAAAGGAGTAAGCAAAAACGACAGCAAAGGGTAACACCAATCCCCAACTATGTAAGGCCTCACAGGGTGACCCCTCATATTGATAACCTTATCCCAAACAATGTCCTCAGATATAAGCCGATTATACAACAGACTATCCCTGAAATGGGTAGCATCATCAAACCCTCCCGGCGCTTTAACACAGACGTCCCAGAAAATCTTCTTGTGATCCGCAACCACCTGAAGAAGAACCGCCGGATACCCATTTCGGCATTGGTAGGACGCGGCGGAATTGAGGTCGGAGGGGAGACGGCGGAGCTTGACCGGTGTGGTGTCGATGGCACCACAGATGTTGGGGAGGGAGGTGAGCTCTTGGAAGGCGTGAGTGGTGTCGTGGAGGCGGCGGCGGCTGACGGGGATCTTGATGAATTCGGGGTAGAGTTTGGTGGCGAGGAGACGGGTGACCATGTTGGTGATCTTGGAGATGAGGTAGGGTTCGAGGGAGTAACGGGAAGCTAGGGTTTTGGCGGAGTGGCCGTGGGTGAGGCGAGAGAGGACCATAGCGATAGCGTAATCGGAGGGAAGAGAGAGGTTGGATTGGGCGATGTAGGGTTTGAGCTTGTCAACGACGGTAGTGAAGACGGGATAAGAGAGGCCAAAGGAGGATCGCCACTGGGCGTCGCGGAGTGGGGCTTCCATGGCCCAAATGCGTTCGGTGGAGAGGGCGCGGAAGGCGGAGACGGAGAATTCGGAGGCGGGAGGGGAGGAGGGGGCGGTGGTGGAGGGGGAGGAGGAAGAGCTGGGTCGGGTGGAGGCGATGTAGGAGAGAACGGAGGCGATTGTGAAGAACAAGAGAGGGGCGGCGGAGGTGGAGATGAGGAGGGAGGTTGGGGAAGTGGCGGATGAGGTGGAGGTCGTGGTGTCGGAGAGGAGAGAGGAGGTTGGGTCCAGGTTGTTCTGGAGGTGGAGAAGACTTGAAAGCATTACCAAAAACGACTGATCCATCACTTTTCTCTCTCTTCAACTACACACTCACTTTCTCTCTGTAAAACCCCCTTCCTGAAGAAGCCTGATCCCTCATTGTGTCGATTTTGGTTGCAGAGAGAGATGAAAAGGGAGAAGAAAGGAACGACATCGTTTGTGTTTCTCAAAACGAAAAGGAAATACCCAATAATGTATGGACACGTCATCTATTTGATGCCTACTAACTTTATGTTATAGAATATTCATGAAATACTACTACCGTTAAAATTATGTGATTTCGATTGACGATCGCGATCATTACTCGTATTTTTTCTTTGGGTGCGCTGGTTGGTTTACACGGGTCAAACATTGCCACGCCTCTCTCAATCTAAAGTCCCATTGAGTCTGTTTTTACACTATGTTTGAGATTTGATAGGGATTAAAATTTAAAAAGAATTTCAATTGTTTAGAGGAGGATTTGAAAAGGAAAAGGGATTTGGTAGGATTTTAAGGTGTGTTTGGATAGTATTAGTTATGAGAAAAAAGAAAAGAAAAAAAAAGGATAGTATTAGTGAGAAGAGAAAAGAAAAGAAAAGAAAAGAAAAGAAAGGAAATGAGAGTAATAATTTTTATTTGTGTTTGGATAGACAGGGAGAAAAGAAAAGAAGTGATAGTTATTTTTGTTTGGATAAGATAGAGGAGAGAAAAGAAAAGAAAGAATAATAGACAAATTATTTTTTTACCCTTTCATACCCATGAGACTTGAATGGAATAATAAATCTGTGTATTAATTTGTGGAGGCTAATTTTGATATTATCAAAATACCACTAAAATTATTATCCTTATCTCTTGTTATCCCTCTTTATTCCTCCACTTAAATTATCTAAACACAAACTTACACTATCATCTCTTTTATTTTCTCCCCTTGTCCCTCCAAATCAACCCTATCAAACACACCAAAAGAAAAATTAGTAAGAGGGGGAAATTCGCGAAAAAATAAAGGATTTGATAGGATTTGAAATATAATATTATATATAATTATAATATTATTAATATAATATTATATATAATTATAATATTATTAATTATTTTCTTGTTTCTAATTTTAAATTTTAATTTTTTTTTTTTTTTTTTTCATAATTGCCACGTTCGTATATTCTAAATTGGTACTAAGATTATTTTATTTCAAATATTTTTTTTTTTACAAATTCCAGTTTCTTCTAAATACTAAAAATATAATTATTTAACTACAATCCAAATCCTTTTCCATTTCCACTTTCAAATCCGAAAGGAATTTGGTTCCCGTTAGGGTTCATTAGAAGAGAGCAGAGCAATTTTTGATCAGTAAAGTTTTTCGACTTAGGACAATTAGGGCTACCCAACTGGTCATTGAAGCGAAAATTGAACTGTTTCTATCTCAATTCTTGTTTTTTGCATTTGATTTTTGGACAAAGTTCTTAGTTCTTGTTTCTAGGTTTTGGGTTTTGTCAATCTACCATCCCGGCAGCGGGAGTTCCAATTGGCAGCCATGACTGAGGTACTCTCTCTCTCTCTCTTTCTCTCTCTATATATATATATCGGAAGCTCCAAAGATAAAATCTTCAGAAAAAGAGGGTTTTTCTTGTTCTTCCTTTTTATGTTATCTTTTTTACTCATGATAATATTGATATGTATTTTGAATCGCCAAACAACAATGAATAATCTATAAATAACCAATTCGAAGGGGCAAAAGCCCACATTACATAGTGATCAGTGGCATCTTGACAAGTTTTTGTACTTCTTTCATCTTTGTTAAAAATAAAATTTATCATATAACTGCTGAATAATTTGTCTCCCAATTCTTTTCTCTCTGTCTTTTTTCCTTGGCTCCTTAAAACCAATAAAAAAATGTCTGTGTGTATGTTTGTTCTAAAGTTCCAATAGTCATCTCCTATTTAACATATGGCTTTCAATACACTGAAATTGAATTAATATTGTCATTCATATAATTTTTAATAGCTTTCTCATTCTGTCACATGATTGTTTTCTCTTGCCCCTTCTCCAGTATTGGGTCAGTCAGGGTAACAAATGGTGTGACTTCTGCAAAATCTTCATATCCAACAATCCATCCAGCATCAGAAACCATGAGCTGGGTCAGCGTCACAAGGATAGTGTTTCCAAGAGGCTTACTACCATGAGACAAGAGAAAGCTGAAAAGGCGAAGAAAGAAAGCGAAGCAGCTCGTGCCCTTGAACAAATTGAAGCAGTAAGTTTGAGTAGGAAATTTTTTGCTCTTATTGATATCTAAAGGCATAGATCTCCTTGCCATATTGACGAGTTAAATTATTAATGTCGATACATAATTACAATGTCTTATGCAACCTTAAAGGTAAGGACTTTGCGGATACCTGATGTTCTAATTTCTGTTTATTTTAGTGACTAAACAAGACTTAAAAGTAATTTTCTTTTGATTTTTTTTGTTCACGCGGAACATTTTATTTGTCCATAGTTCACATTTTTTACTAGTAGAGATACTATACATTTATTTACTGCGGTGGTTCACTTGCTCCAACTATATATTGTTCATCAAGAAAAGAAGGGGGACAGCTCAATATATGAAATAGAAAACAAAAAATTATTTATAAATTGAACAAGTTTAAATTTTCATCAAAGGAATACTAGAACTTTTTATACCATCACAGAATGTTCATCAAATTTAAAATTTTAAATCATTTACTGTGGTATGTGTTTCGAGGTAGCATCATAGCTCATGTTTCTTTCTCTATCATCATCGTGCCTAAGTTGAATAGACATGTCTTGCTTCTAAAAGAAGGGGGACAGCTCAATATATGAAAGAGAAAACAGAAAATTATTGATAAATCGAACAAGTTTAAAATTGTCATTGAAGGAATACTAAAACTTTATATACCATCACAGAATTTTCGTCAAATTCAAAATTTTAAATCATCTACTGTGGTATGTGTTTCTAGCTAGCATCATACCTTATGTTTCTTTATCATAATCATACCTAAGTTGAATAGACATGTCTTGCTTCTTTTTCATATTCTACATCACATATTTCTCCCCCATCATCTTCTTTTTCCCCTTCCTCTCCCTGGTAAGTCATTATTTATCATCCCTTTTTTTCCTTTGTCATTTTCACCTATGTCAAAGCAGGTAAACTAGTTGAGATTTAGAATAAAACGTTCATTAAATACATATATTGATGCAGTAATGATAATATTTATATTCGTTATTCTTATAAATTATTCATTCCTTTTATTTAAAATGTTTGCAGAAAGCCAAGCGTAGTTATCAGAAGGATATGGCGACTTTTAAGGAATCCAGAGATTCCAATGCCCATGCATTAGTTGCTCAAGAGAATGGTCAAGGGACTTCTAAAGGATCTACAATACCTGGAGGAGGTAAAATTAGTAGCTCTATTATTAGTACATGTTTTTGACAATCCAAATTACATTGTAATAGAGCATGCTCATGGTTGGCAGCATTGAGCAGCATTGTTATGAGGCCCTATGTAGGAGAATAAGCTTTCTGGAAATTGCCTTTGCCCATCTGATCTTTAATTCTATACTATTCTCAGATGGATTAGGTCTAGTTTTGAAGTTGAATATTGAAAGTAATGACCATTAGCTTGTATGTTTCCTATTATCTTTTAGGTGGACCATCATTCTTGTGAGTTACGACTATTAAACTGATTGAGCTTCTTGTTAACAGTTCAAGCTCCTTCATGTTTTAGTCAACTTGATTTTAAAGCTTGATTGCTAAGAATCCAAAAATTGAGCAACACCGGACTCGTCTAGACCAGGCTGATGGACAATTGAGGCAGGCATTACACTGTTGTATTGGTAAATATCTGTAAACAGTCTACCCAAATGAAGTTTTAAGAGGAAAAATAAAATAAAATTAAGTTAGTTAAACATAATATATCTCCATTGGGATTTATGAACTGAAGGGGCAATGAAGATCCAAATCATGAGCCGCACATGAATCTTACCTACGCTTGGGGAGGGGCAACGGTTAATAGATTTTAGAGTTTTGCTGTATATTTAAGGAATTATAATAAATATGAGTTCGTTTTTCATTATTTTCTTTTTATTAGTATTAGGGTTAGGTTTTCCTATGGATATGGTCTTCTGTCTTGCATCTTTGTTGGACTGAGCATGGCTTTTTTCCAGTACTGAGCATAGGCATGGCTACATGTTTTATTTGGGGACTTCTATATGATTGTAGCAGCTATTTTGGACATAGGGTTCTTTGAATTGCCTATATATACATTAGGGTTCTTTGAATTGCCTATCCATGGGCCATATCTATTGGATTAATCACTTTTGATGAATATTGTGTGTTGAATTACAGACTACTTCTCCCCCAATTCTTCTTTTCTTCGCTCTTTTTCTCCTTCTCTCTTCTTGCTCTCAGGGATAGACTCAGAAAATTATTTGAGTTGGGGCTATAGTGTAATTTTTTAGTAATTTCAGCGGGGGCAATAGTGGGATTTTATAGGTATATAATTCAAAATGAAAAAATCAGCGGGGTATAATACTAAAAAAAAATTCAGTGGGGCAAATTTCCCCCACTGCACTATAAACAGGTCCGTGCCTGCTTGCTCTACTTCAATAAGATTTTGAGATACATAATAATCACAAGAGCACATAACAGAACTGTGAATTACGCTAATTTATGGGATTGACCTTCAATTAAGCTAGTTGAGCTGGTTTTATACTCGGGCTCAATAATATTTGTAAAGTCAATCAATTCGTGCTTGAATAACTCGACACTTGGCTTGCCTCAGTTCATTGACAACCTACCTTTCCAAGGAGTCTTATGATTTTGACTCCTGTTGGTCAAAGGAAAGGTGAGGTCCTGATTCGGGACAGCGCCGTATGACGCGAGAGCGTATACTGTTGAACTCAGGGAGCGAGACCCTAAAGATAGTTCAATCAAGACTTGGTAAACAAATACGCAATATGAAGGCCTTACTCATTTATGCCGAAACAAAGGTCTGTCTTTTAATCCAAGCACTTTTGCAAGCGAAGCGCCCTTTCTTTTATAATATAATAATCAAGACCTTTTTTAACTGCTTGGAAATCACTAGGTCGAACAAGCAATGTCTTGTTATGGCGAGAATCTACATAACTGTGTCTGATAAGCACTTGATGTTTAATTGTAAATTCACTTCTTCGTCCACTAAATGAAATGTCAAAGCTGGATCTTTCCCGTTTCCAGAGTAGACTCTATTGTGCCAATTAGTCAAACAAGCATGAACATATTAGCATTTCATGAATCTTTGTTGCTTTGATCATGTACTGTTTAATTTGAAACTGTTTTGAATGATGACAGAGTGGGAGCATGACGACACTTCAGGATATTACTACAATCAGAGTAATGGTTGCTACTATGATCCAAACTCTGGCTTCTACTATACTGATGCTTTAGGTATTGACTCATATAACTAGAATTACTCAGGTTCTAGTTCATTTCTCCCCATAAAATATCATATTCAGTTACATGTTGTTTATAATTGAAACAGGTAAGTGGGTGACACAGGAAGAGGCAATTGCTGCATCTCGTGTTTCTTCAAAGTCCATGCAAGGAAAAACAAGTTTTAAAAAACCATCGTCAGGCCCTGGACCAGCCTTGGAAACCAAATCTGATGCAAAATGTCAAAGTGGGCCCCCACCTGGGCGGGTTGTATCAGCATCTCCAAACCCAATGAGATCTGTTAAAGGCGCTCCCTCATCTCTCGCGGTTAACAAGAGAAAGAGACAAGATGTGAAGCCAAAGGCTTTATCTGAAGAGGAATCTGCTGCACTGAAGGCAAGGGACGCTGCAAGGAAGAGAGTCGAAGAGAGAGAGAAACCATTGCTTGGTCTTTATAGGGGTTTATAACAGCTCCAACAAGCATTTTCCTTCTTAATATACCAGGTTAGCTTTAAGTATGTCTACTGCTAGGTTTTCTCTTAATTTAAATTGCAATATTTGTGCCTCTTGGTAATTCTTCTGTCATGAGAAGTTCTTTGTTGTGTGATATTGCATTTTGGAACACGAACACCATTTGGTCTCACTCAAGGGTGCCACTTCTTTCTTATCTCATGTTGTACTTGTATCATATCTTAAAAGAAAATTACTTGAAGTAATTAAAAAATGATGGGTAGCGGGAAAAATAGATGATGGGTTGTAACTAATCATTGTCTCCCGTATATTATTTTTTAACAATGATTGTGAATGTTGTGCTTATACATAAAATACGAAATATATTTTTCCCACAGTGACTTTTCATGGATGACATGTAAGGTTACAAGATGGAAGAAGTTAGGGGTATTTAGTGGATCACGTCATATGATCATCTGATAATCAGGTCTCTAGTATTGATTTGAAAAAAGGACAGAGCTTCAAAATTGGACCTGTTATTATATGGTGGCAATCCCCTTGCAAGACATGAGAATGGCAGAATGCATGCTTAATTAGATTATATCCTTTAATGCATTTTGGGTTGCACACTAAATAACAAACCATTCATAGACCAGTCTCAGATAATTCATTCCAAACTCATTATGAAGTATTTTGCTATCACGGTCCATGGTGTACTTTACTTGGTGCAGAACCAATTGACGGGCTGCTACCACAGTTCTGATCTTTATATTGGATGCAGGTATTATGAATTATTTGACAGCAAGAAATGGAATAACAAAGCTGTACACCTTGTTTGCATGTTGATCTTGCGCCCATCTCATCATTCTCATTGTTGAAAAACACGGGATAAGAAGGCCGCTATGGTGGTTTCTGCAATTGTACGAGTACCTGGTCGACTGCTTTTCTTTTCATGAAAGTTCTCCATTTTTTGTACTGTCAAAGGATCTTGCAATGAGCGTCTGTTGTAAACTTCTGGTGATAGAAAACTCTTCGCCCCCTTTCTTCATTATTCTTTCTGTGAGTGAAGAAGTCTATGTACCCACTCAACAATGTGATAAAATGTCATGTCCATTATTTATCCCCACAAGAAACTTTAAATAACAACATGGGCATACAGATATGCATCAATGAGTGACTGCTTTTATAGCCATAAGCTTGTTTGTTTTGTACAATAGATGGATATAAAGAATGTTTGTTCTGTCTCTCTTCATTTAGCACAGACTATGATGTAGTTGGTCCTTTTAGCTTTATCTAAGGCAGAAAGTTTTTGTTGAACGGTTGAACCATAAGTTGTCATGTCTGCTCTTGACTAACTGGACTTCTTTAAGCCTTCTCTTATGGGGTTTGTGTAATTCTTTTGTCTGAGTAATGGTCTTGCACTTGAAGGTGTTGATAATTTGCTAGTCTTGCTCAACATGCACTGAAGAGAGAGAGAGAGAGATTTTAATAATAATAATAATAATAATAATAATAATAATAAACATTTTTTGATATAGGGAAAAAACTTCAGATGCTTGTGTGTATCTATACATATAAAAAGTTGGACAGGACGGAGCTGGTGAGAGACAACTGGGCCAAGCTTGCCTTATTATTAGAGGACTCTGTTTGACATTATTAGTAGAGTTTGAACGCGTGAGTTTAAAGTTGTGAACTAGTATGATATTTATGTTACATTTGGGAATATAAATTTGTTCTAAGAATAATGATATTCGACACAAATGACCGAATATCTATCGGAATCCGTTAAGCTAAAGAAACTAAAACATGAAACATGAATTCCCTCTGTTTCATTCTCTTTCCTCAATTGCCCTTGTATTGTGTCTTTCTTTCTACTAACTACAATTTTCTGGTACAATCTGAACTTCTTAATAGGTTTCAACTAAAACCCTCAAAATCTAAAATTATACAGACCTTCAATCATATCATTAAATTATGTATTTTCTCTCTCCCTTGCAATCTTTTCTGATCTTATTATTTATCTTCGGTAAAACATCAAATCCATTTGATTTTATGTTGTTTTGAGCATTAAATTAATTTTGTGGGAAGATTAGAGAGAGAGATACGTAGAAATTGACAAACAAAAAAAATAAAGCGATACATATAGATATACTCAGAGAGGGAGAAACGAGATCCATTATCATATGAAATTCGGACAATTTATTAGCCATATACATCGTACAGAATGTCATTACTCTCGTTGTAAACATACAAATATCCCAATTTCAACGCGCATTCTATGTAATGCAAGCTGCTAATAGCAACCTCCATTTCAAAAGACACGTACAAATAATCCGCATTGAAGATGAGAAATGTTTGGTGCAATTGTGACTGTCCCGTCCAATGAAGAATTTAAGTGGAGTTTGTCAACCATGGCATTAAATTGTGGTCTGGTACCAAGGACTTTGACAGCACTCGGTATCTGACACATGATGACTTGGGGTGGGACCTTATTGACTTGGAAAGGTCAGAGATATCGGCGGTGAGAGAATAATAATGGATTATTAAACCTACACAACATGTGTTCGCCACGTGAATGGACGGTGATACTTCATGCTCTACCTTTCCTGGACACCTTATGTCCTGGGGTCAAACACTATCTCAGCAAATTGCATACTTCACCTTCCATATTTATTCAACTATATATATATTTCAAGATTTTAATTTCATATCATTATAAATTATTATTTTATTTTTATTTATTGTTTAATTAAAAGATAAAATATTAATAAATTTGACATATCTAAATATATCAAAATTTTATATGTCAATTTACCAAATATAAAATTTAAAAATTCGAGATGGTCCAAGATTATACATTTAAATCCCTCCACTCATTCGTTTGATATTCATGTGTATTGTGTGCGCATTGTTGAATAAAAATATTTGATATTATGTTGATGTTTTTTATGAGTATTGATTCTACTGAATGGGTACGCTTTATAAATATTGATTTTTGTTTTTTCTTGTAGATTAGGGAATGAGGATTTTAGGCATACCTATTTGGAAAGTTGAAAACTTTACTAATTAATAACCCTAATTTGGACCGTCGTTCTTACTAAACTGTTTCCTTAGACTTCATTGAAAAGAGCGCAAATTGTTTATTTATTTGTGGAAGATAGGGAAGATCACTTAGAGAAGATTAACATAATCTTTCTAATCGACATTTGCTCAATCAACTTCGTTAATAATGAGAAAGCACATTTCAATCATTACATGGGCTAAACCAACTTGATTCTAATCGACAGTCATAGGACGTCGAGTCATTAAATTATGATGATTTTTCTATTATACGATTCTAACCATTGATTTTATTATTTCTCGAAAGTCAGCACTCGATACCATATAATGTAACATAATCTCTATTATTTTATAGATAAATGCCATCGGGCTGTTAGAATTTTTACAACAAAATCCTATAAATATTGCATTTAATTATGTTGATCGTGTTGCATTCTCAATGTTTAAAAAAGAAAATAATATATATATAATTACAGTAAAAAGGGTTGAGGATTCTGACTGGATGTTGGGATGGGGGTAGCCCTTTATCACCACCAATCCCAATGTCTGATGTCCCAAACTACTACTTCCAGTATGTAGTAAAATTGTCTCTCTTCTGCTTTTTCTTTGCCGTTCTACCTTTTTATCATTGCGTTTTGACTTTCTTCTTTTCAAAATTGTTTCCTTATTCAAAAGTGCTTTCTTTGTATAAGTTAAAAAAACTCACACTTTTAAGTTCACTTTCTTTTGAAATACATTCTTTCACAAACAAATTTAGGGCAAACTTACTAAAGGATGCTCCATGTTCGATTCTTGAGCAAATAACTTGATGTCAAATAACTTGATGTCAACATAGAAAGTATGAATGCTTTTACCAAAAGTAAGCATAGTAGTATTGTGTTGATGTTGGTAAGGTGTGAAATTGTCGACAGTATTCTCAATTTGTAGCCTGGGATGAGTCCTCCAAAGTCCTCCCAAGACGAGTTCCGTGCCAACAAAAAATTAAATAAATAAATAACATAACATAATTATTTGAGAACAACCCTTACTATATAAATTAGAAATGAATTAATGCCTAATAGATTTTATCTTTTTTTTTTATTATGGTTATCATCATTCTTACTTTAACTTAAAATAAATAGGATAAGCTACCTGAATTATATTTTTTTTCATATATGTTTTTTATAAACTTCAAACCAACAAAATTAAATTGAACTTGTAAGAAATCCAAACTTAATAAAACTTTAAATTACAAACTAATGAGCCTGAGTCCAACAAAAGAATAGAGAATACGTTTATTTAAAAACAAAAGACATGTAAAACACAAATGAATTTTGCAACGCCCTTGGTTTGAAATGGTAACACTTTTGAATATTTGGAATTAAAATTAACACCTCTTCTAAATGGAGTTCATTAAAAAGATCCAAAACGCAGATATATTTCGCATGTACATAAAAGACCTTATTGGATCGATCTTCTCAACAAAATCACTACGGTCAATACTATCATCATTATCTGACCCAAAAGAATTATTTTTCCCAAAAAGAAAAGAAAAGAAAAATACTATATCATTGTCACCAACTACCATGCAATATGAACGGGGAGACTAAATCATCACAATAATATCGTCATCATAAATGAGAGAAGTTAATTTATTTTTGTGAAAAAACATTATACATATATGCTGATGATAAATTGATAATGATAGATGCCAGGTTTATACACATAATTATTTGATTTTTATTTTATATTTTATAAGCGTGAAATCCCTGCAAGGCTCAACTCATTTTTAGATAATGAATAACAAAAAATACCAGTTCTCGAACAATTCAAGAAGAGTGTTGACGTAATGCGGGTTGAAAGCAGTGACCCTTTTTTTTTTATTACTTGATTGCATAGACTAATGGTCATTTCCAGGTGTGCTTTATTCTCTCTAACATGATCAAACAAAGAAAAAGAGAGGAAAAAGAAAAAGCAACCACAATTACAGGAATTCATGTAGGTGTCCACCGTAATAGACACAACCAAGCCTTTTGATAAAGCTAGTTTTGCTTGCATGCAGGGTTGTTCGCTCCTTCTTTTACCTACAACAACACTATTGCCTAATCAATGCTCAACCCTGCATAATCATAGTCCCCCTCTTTATAGTCATGTTCTTCAACATATATATATATATATATATATATATATATATGATAGTTCTGAATAGTTGTTTTTTAAATAAAAATAAAATCTTTTAGCTTATGGGATACTCTCCCTAAAGTTTTAGCTTATGGGTAACTCGATATGAGTTGATTTCATATATTTAGAGTTTGTAAATTATTTAAAAATTCAAAACGACAAGTCAGTGGGTTGATTCTAAATTTTTTAAAACACAATTTTTTGTTTGAACTATATACAGCAATACATAATTTGAAAAAAATATAAACAGCGTAAAACTAATTACAAAGCCCCAAAAAAATGAAAAGTTAGATATACTAACACAGTCCATTATTAGTCTCTTTTATTTCATATCAACCCCTAAACAAACACTAAATTCCCCTAAAATATTTATGATTTTGTGAAATTTTTGGTGATGAAATTTCTTTCAAATGAACTGAAACAAGCACAATATACATTGGGAATTAAAATCTTCAAAAAATTCGGTGCATCAATCAATGGTAATGATTAGCACCACCACATGGCAATTGCTCACGTTGCTAGGCATTGGCCCGCTATATCGAACGGTTGATTAAAAAACAAGTGAACTGGGAGGGTCCCACAAAAAATTCAGATCGAGGAATCTGAATCATCCACGTGTAACAGAACCAAGTCCCTTGGAGATCTCATGAACGGTGGGATTGAACCCCAAGCAACCCAACAGTCCTTGCTTGTAAGGCAAGAAGGTCTTCTTCCTCATCTCCTCCGACACCGCCCGGTTCACCTTGTAATGGAACTCGTGAGCCGAAACCGGTCCTCTCCTCCTGCTCGACACAGAGCCCACACTATCCGTCGACCGGAAGCTCGAATTCTTGACGTCGTCTTCGACACCGCCCTTCTTCAACAATGCGTACTTCTTCAGTGGATCTTTGCTCGTCGCTCGACCCTCCGACGCGCTTCGGAACAGCAAAAAGTCCTTCAGCCTCCATTTCCGATAATCTCTCCACGACGAAGTTGAAGTTGAAGACGACGAAGATGACGATGAGGATGAGGTTTTGGTGTGAGTAGTTGCAGAAGAATTGTTCGAATTTGGAGCCTGTTGCTGATCGAACAAGATATCCGACACCCTAAAAGGAGACAGAGATCTGGTTCCTTTGTGTCTTGAAATTGAAGTTGATGAATTCAAAGTCCTCTCTCTTCCACGTTGTTGTTGTTGTTCCGGTGGCTGATCTTCGTTTTTACGAGTTTGCTCGATCGCCGCCGCGAACGGATCAAAATCGGCTTTCTTCTTATGCCTCGGCGACAATGCTTCTCTAAACAATCTCGCACCGGTCGGCGATCGAGGAGATCGAGGCGACCTCGGGGAATCGCCGAGTCCGTGTAACCGTGGCGGTGGTTTTAGAGGTCTGATCTTGCCGCCGTCGAAGAGCTCGTCGGCGGAGAGAGAAGTTCTCTCCAACTGTCCACTGAAATCGAATTCGAAATCCACGTCTTCATTTGTGTTGATTGCGTCTTTTGTTTTGGGAATTCCGGGCTTTTCTTCCCAATTGAAGGGGATTGTCGACAAACAATCACCGCCGGTGACGTTGTCGCCGCCGTATAAGTTGTTGAAATCACGATAAAAAGTGGAGGAGCTGGTGGGGCTGGTGGGGGCGCTGTAGAAGAAGTTGCCGAAACGCTGAGGGCTTGAGGGAGCACTCATGTACGGCGTAGTGCACGCGCTGTCGAAGTTGAAGTCGCCGGCCGGAGACGGTACCATCACTTCCACCTCCATTTGAGAGTGTAACTGGAAAACTCGCTGCAAATTTCAGTTGGGGAATAGTGGGGTTTGGGTAGATTTATAGAGAGAGAAAGTAGAGAGAGAAAGTAGAGGCGGAAAAGGCGAGGAAGGACAGAAGGAGAAATGATTGACCAGAGTGGGGTGGACTTATAGCCGCCTTCTACGATCGATTGGGACACTTCAGGGATGGTGTTCAATGTCAGAATTACCCTCGTCAGAAAGCATTGGAGATGGGTACAGATGTGTCTAATAAAGGAAAAGTTGAGGTGCGCCCCAAACCAACCACTTGAAATTTATTTTACCGTTGATTAAAGTATACTATTGTTGTTAGATTGTGGGGTTTATTTGAATTTTAAAAAGAGGAATAATGAAATGATTAATAAATTGAGTTAATGCGGTCAGAAATTGGAAGCCCATTGGTCGGTAGGGTTAAATGACTTAAAATTTGCAGATTTGGTTGCCTACATGAGCTCATTGCCACACGTTTCAAATTTAATACAATTTTGTATTACGCCGAAATATTTGGTCAAATTTATATAATCCATACACAAATATAAAATTTAGCAAAAAAAAAAAAAAAATTGATTTAAGTATACAAAAGTAAAGTGCTGTACAAGATTTTAGGCCAAGTTTCTAAAACTAGACAATAATTGTATTAGTGAATGCTGAAGCCTATAATATATAATTCTCAGATAAAATAATTGGGACACGAGTCCTCTCTTAAGAGGATGAAATTCATCCTCCCAGCTCAGCTCATATGGTTCTATACAATTTGAACACATGTCCAAAATTTTAAATTTTTTAAAAATAGTCATTACTCATTTTCTTCAGGTTAAATTAAACTCAATATATATATATATATATATATATATATATATATTCTTTCCAAAACAATCACCATTGTTTCTATACCCAACCTCCATATAGAATTGGAAAATTACTAAATTCATTTAAAAAATGTACCTAAAATAAACACATATTCATATATGTGAGAAAATCTCATATTCATATAGATTAACATATTACTGGAACGAATATGATATTAAAATATTATATGAAAATTTGATGTTAACAGTATGAATAGAGCTTTTCTGGTAGGTCTATTTTTTGTTAACTCTAGATCTATGTTTTCAATCTTTGATAAATAAAAAAAAAAGCCTCTCTCATGGGTGGAAAATATGGAAAGAACGATTAGAATTTGTGGATATTGCAAATTATGATTGATACAGTTTTGTGTCACTTATGAGGTTGGTTGGTTTGTATTCAAATGGAGGTTGGATATGGAGATTTGCAGGGAGGGAGGGAGAGAGAGGGAAGAGAGACCCTAAAAGAGGGATTCTAAAAAAATTTAAATTTGGAAAGAAAAAAAAAAAAATTGGATTTCGGTTTAACCTATAAGAAATTGGATACGACCATTATTAGAAAATTTAAAAACTTGGACATGTGTCTAAAGTGTATTGGGCCACATGTGGCTGAATGATGAACTTCATCCTCCTATGAGAGGACCCAAGTATTGTCCAAATAATTATTTTAAAAAGTTATATAAGGAGGAGATGTCGAGATGGTATGATATTTTTTTTCATTTTTAAGTATGTGTAAATTATAGTATTTAATATGTCTAATGGTACACAATTTTTATTTTTACTTTTTTCTATGAAGACTTATCTCATGGTAAAATAGAAACTAGTTAGCCTTGATGAAAGGGATGGTGGCTTAGGAATCCTCCTGTTCATCCCAATCCCATTTTAATGTTTTTTTTTTTTACAGTAATGATTTGTAAAAATTTAATTCATACATTTAGAAAAAAATTGTGAATTGGGGAAAAAGAGTTCAAAAGCTAAAGATTGAGCATATTTGAATTTACCAATACATTGAAACATGAAATTCACATTAAAATTTCAAATTAGCAAAAGAGGGAAAAAAAAAAAAAAAAAAAAAAAAGAACAATTATTCCCCACAACTCAGCTGATAGTCTGAAATATTGGTTTGAAGTTATAGTCTTCAAAAGTGAAATTAGTCACAAGTATAGAAGTTAAAACCAAAAGCTTTATGTTGAGAACAATTAGAAGTCTTATAATCAATGTTTTGATAAATAAAAAAATAAATCCCGTGTGCTGTGAAGTAGTAGTCTAGGTGAAGCAAAACATTAGTTACTAAAAAAAAAAAAAAAAAGAGTCTGCTAGAGCAATCAAAGCTTCTTCAGCCAATGGTTTTAATCTTGGTTATTTCCTTGAATACTAGCTATTATTGTGTTTTTTTCTCTTTTGGGCAGGCAGGTTAAGCTTTTGCCAACACAAATTCCCCACTTGGGACAAATTTTTTGACTTTTAGGTTTCTACTCAATCAGGGTGACCAAACCACTACTATTACGCCATCCTCTGCTGTTAAAATTTGATGCAACAGTAGTTTCGTAGTAATTTTTAATACTAGTATATCTATTTTTAATATTTTTATATCTACTTTTTAGAGTTAGATATATGTAATGTGTTAAAAAATGGATGTAGTATGTTGGAAAGTAGCTCCACCTTGACACAAGTAATAGAAAGCACCTTGTATAAGAATGAAATGCAGCTCACTCCAATCTATTCTCTCATATATATATATATATATATTTATATATATAATATAAAATGTACAGATATGATCTTTTGTCCCTGGGTTAGTAAAAAAAGAAGCTTTTTTCTACAACAAGCATAAGTACGAAGAAAAAGGAAGTTACCAAAAATAAATACCAATGGTGACTATACCTAGATAAGTTTGACCTGTGTGCAAAAGATATTTTTGTGTGTGTGTATATATATATATATATATACATAGCATTAACCCACATTTATAACTATGGATGGTTAGTTTTGATTTCATTACGACCAACAAAACCCTGGAAAGTAGAAAATATCAAACTCCGTGACTGAATTTCTACGCTTGACATTAATGCAACCTTGAAAATTTTGCATTCTCTCTTCGTCCATTTAATCCAGCACAAGTACAATCTAAATGTAATTGTTCTGACTCTTTGTTTAATTTTTCACAACAGCCTCTCTCACACGTGTGGACGCAAGTTAAGGTCGTTAATGCCGGCCCCAACTAAGCTTTCAGAGTTGTCCATACCTCAGCATCGAAGGTATCATCATACACACACCTCTCTATAACCAGTATGTGTTTTCATATTTAAAACTAGTTTTGTTTTTGTTTCTTCGAAATTGAACATGTTTGAATAATTCGTGTGTCAAGACAACAAAGTTTTAGGAGTCGTTGTTTCGTATAACGTTAAAAGTGTAATAACATGAATTCGTGTAAAAAAAACACAGTCGATTTGTTCAAAACAATGAAACATGAAATACAAACACATGTACACAAAATTGAAAAGTTAACACAAATATATTTGGCTGTTACTATATATATATAATTTTATATACATGAAAAAGAATTTATTGAAGTATATAAATTAGCTTGATTGGACCTGCCGGATTAGTTTATGCTGATGTTTGCAATCGAACTAGTATTCTATGATGATGTTTCTTATGTTGATCTTAGTAGTTATCATTTTGTTCCATCTGACTTGCATGCATATTAGCAAATACTATTGTATATTTAATTGACTAATGTACATGGATGACGCTTTGAAAACGAATTTCCTATTAAAATATCTTTATATCGATAATGCTTAAACCCGTTCAATTTGACCAAAAATACAGAAAGAAAATAAATAAAAATCCTATCCAATGTAACATGTGATTGAATTCCTGTTTCTTTCTCAACCCCAAAAATAAAATTAAAAAAATTGAAATGTTTTGTTTGTACATGTTCTTGAATATTGGTCAAATGAGAAGCCAAATCAAACGGTCCAAAGTTTTTATTTGTTGAGCAACCCATTTGTCCATTTTGGTCATCTAAAGTAGAGTGGGAGTCAATTCACTGGAATAAATTCACCATAGGACCAACCATAAAACCCAAACCATTTTTTTCAATATTAAGGTGGGCCAATATAGAGTTTGTGCATCTAAAATTCAACAAATTCTTCTTCTAAGAAACTACATAACATCCTATATCACATTGATTTATTGTAAATTGGTAAAAATATTCATGCTCGACGTGACACAATTCGAATGAGTATGAAGTATCTGTTTGATTATATACGACAATTCAAAAAAAATATTTTAAATAAAAATTTTTGAACTTCCACAAGAAAAATGTTTAATAAAAGACAAGTATAGATTTTAAATTCCATACCTAAAATAGGATCCTTATTATAGATTATGACATGGTCTGTCCAAATTATCTGTTTTATTGAGCTTATAATGCTTTAGACTTTCCAGATTAATCAATTGCATAGTTTGTATACTTTGTTGCTGCTTACTGTGAATAGTGAAACTGTTTTGTGAAAACATGTTCTTGAATAATTGTATCCGATAGGATCAACAATGCTCATTGAGGTTTAAACATATATGTATGTCTTACAGTTACCAATCAATCAATTAAGACATTATTTGTAATCAGAGACCACTCCAAACCAATCAAAGTAATTTAATCTCAGCTAATAATCCAGTTCTGATCAGATGGTGGAAGCTTTCCATCTAAGAAGGATGAAAAGAATGCCAGTGCTCGAGCTGGTTGGTAACTCGGAACAAAGTGTCCAGCTCCTCTTATGGTCACGAATGTTAGGTTTTTGTATCCAACCGCGTACCCACCAACCTTTAGGAGACACAAAAATGAACATAAGCAATGATTTGTTATAGAAAACCGAACAAAATTGAAGAAGAAAACGAAGAATGTAGAGGCCTTTTTAGATATACCTCGCCTTGGTTGGACCAGGGGTACCATGGAGTTTCAACTGATGTTTCGAGCTTGTTTATGCCATACCTACTTGTTGTCACCGGCACTCTACCATCTGTGTCTCCGCTGCAAGTGAATCCAAGTTTTAACATAAAAGAATTTATGGCGATTTTGTTGCTGAATTTGATGAAATGGAATAGATTTGAAGAGCTTTTGAAATCGTATAAGCAGAGTGGTTTAGTGTCACTTATATTAATTCTAACTAAAGAACAACATTTAGATTAATTATACCACTTACCTATAGATCCAAACACTAATACCACTGCCCATCAGCTCCTGAATGGTGGGTAAAACTGTTAATGGCTTGTCGTTCCAACTAAGACCTATACTTCGGCTGTATTGAGATACAATAAAAATATGAATTAAGTAAAAATAAAAGATTGTTTTTTTTGTTTTTTTTTTTTTTAATGATTGAGAAAGAAAGTCAAATTTAGTACTTGCAAGAATCCCATGGGCCTGGAAGACCTGTGACATTTGCATGAAGTGATCTTTGCACCTCAGGAGTGTTCAGGTAAGAGTAGATATAAGTATCTGAGCATGGATCAAATGCTGATATCTGATTAATTTAAGCAAAGAATTAATGGAAACTTAGAAATATGAAAGAAGAGTTATATATTTAGAGAAAAGTTTTCAAATAATTGATCAATAGAACTATATATACCGATGGAGCCTTTGAAGACGAAGAACATAAGGGTGCATAGATGTCATATAAGAAGATGTTCCCTAGTGCTTGATAAGCTTGACGAAGATAGTCTATGCATGCATCTGAGATATTTGCATCATTGGAAAAATTGCAATTTAGAACAATCCCTTCATGAATTTCATCGGAAATGAGGGCGTGTGTCCAGAAATAATCATACATTCCTGTGTTTTGTGTTTCGTGGTCTATATATGCATTGCCGATCTGAAATTCACAACACATTCATGGATGTTAGTTTTCTTCCAAACACATACATGTATAACAGAGTTTATACAGTAATAAGTATTTTGTTAGCCAATTAAGACTTACAGCAATTCCTTTTAAGTTAATGACAGTCTGGTTTGTAATCTTGTTATTTTGAAGGATTAGTTGAGCAAGCTGAGGCACGTAATGCCCTGCATAGCTCTCTCCGGTTATGAAGAAATCTCGGGTTTTGTATTCCGGAAACCTTTCCAACCAGTTGACTAAAAAGGTATAAGAATCTGCTGCAGTTCGTATATCTCCACTTAAATCGTAGTCTGATGATGTGTTGGAGTAAGAAAATCCAACACCGGCTGGAGATTCCAAGAATAGGATATTTGCAGCTGCATTTCCAAGAAAAATAACTACATATTGTAAGAGTCCTACTTTAAAAAGTTTTTTTCTTGTAAATAAATTAAGTGATGGATAATTTATCAGAATTAAAAGGACCACTGACCATTGTTCCAAGCATATTTGTTTACTGATAGAGTTTTGCCATCACTATTGACTCTAAATGGTCCAAGTTCCATCATTGCTCCATTTCCGAAAGAGGAGCAGCCAGGTCCTGCCCATCAAAATGATGATGGTATGGTGAGAATTAGTAACACAACAAAGGTGAAATACAGATATATATGTGTGTGTATGTATGTATGTATATATATATATATATATATGTGCATGGTTTTCACATTGCAAAAATGCCCATGAAATTTAGGGGCTGCCGTGTTCATATGCTTTGAGTTAGCAGGACAGGCATTTGACTTTGCATTCTATTGGATTAAAATGATATACAAGAAAGTACAGTTCTTGAAGGTAATAGTATTTATGTAGACTCTTTAGGAGAAATGTGCATGATATATTATTACTAGAATTGGATCAGAAAGTGTAAATCACCAGATGAAAGAATACTACCGATGATTGTGGATAAAAAAAAAAAGGACTTTACCTCCATTTAGCCACAGCACGAGAGGCTTGGTAGAAGAGTTTTGGGACTCGACGAAGTAGTAGAAGAGTGCTCTACCGGCATTAGGATCAACCGTGACATAGCCAGAGTACTGATCAAGATTCACTCCATTAGGCTGCCCCGGCAATGTTGTGATCTTGTCAACTTCTTTCAAACCATCTTGAGGGCCTACATAAACAGGCGAATATACTGTCTCTGTACCCTCGGTGACAACATAATTGGATGAGAAATTTCTTGACCGTTGAGCCTCCAAAATTGTTTCAAGAGGGTCAAAACCTGTCCCTGCATAACATTGTACAAAAGCCACAAGGCTAAGAAGAAGCGATAATAGGAATATAACCTTCATCGGTGCTGTGATATACAAATGCTGTTTGATCAATGCATTAATCCTTGCTTTTTATACTATGCTTTTTTCGTGTTGGATTTGCACCATAACGACCTTCTCTATGCTTCTGGTGATTATATGATATTTATCTAATATTTCTATGCATTTGCAATGTTTACCTGTCTTAATCAGACTTTACAGCTAATATAAACATAAGATTTGTCATCTCTCTTTCTCTCTCTCTCTTCACTTTCTTCTCTCTTTTGCTGGAATGAAGAAAATGTTGTCAAAGGATTTTGGAAGTTTGACAAGTATGGGCTAACTAATCAGCCGGCTCTTTGTGACATATACCCACTAAAATATTTGATAAGTTTGATGATAAGAAGATTTAAATATTCTACATCACCAAAACCAAATTAGTGGTCATAAACTCTCATCCAAAGGACCAAATATCATTTCATTTTGCTTACTTAATGTTGCTTTGTCACTAAAAATAGCCCTTTGATGATAATGCTTGATCAGTTACATCATCTAACCAGGTTGATGGATTTTTATATGCACTCTACTAGAGGCATTGAGTAGTACATTTCATTATTTTGTGAAGTCTACTTCAATTTTTCTGGCAGCAAAATTATTATTATTTTTGTCTCATCATATGTCACTTCTTTCCACCTTAGAGGGAATCCGATATAGGATTATGTGAGCCCCAGGAAATGGAAAAGTCATCTGTTCTGGGACTAATGACATGTTGCATGTTTTTCTACTTTAAACTAGGACAATAAATAAAATTTTCGAATAGGGATTAGTTTGTATTTGGAAAATGATAAATTTGACGAACGGTTTTTGTTACCGACTGACGTGGCAATCGATGATTGAGATAAACACCTAGGAGAGAGATTCTATTCTTTTTAAATACTGACAAGAGTCTTTGTTGGACTTGATCCATTGGAGTTGCACAAAAGGTTTTTTTTCTCTACTAATTTATAATTTTACCTTTCGTCGTACTGATATATATATATATATATGATTCTTTCTCTGCTAATTTATAATTTTACCTTTCGTCGTACTTGACCTACGATTGAATTTACTTACAAGGAAAATTCCTCTGTCAAGGCTCCAAAGAGGCAAGGAAGGGAGATAAAGAACTTTTTTATATCACTGATGTGGTTGCCTAATCTGGTGCATACTTTAGCTTGCCAAAAATTTAAAGCAAATGTATGAATTTATTCTTGTGGATGATATGTTATTACTCCATGTTAAACATTTCCCATGATTTATCTATCTTACAAAGAAATTAATTCCAAACCGATAACAGATTATTATACATCAGTAATTTTACATGATAGAATGATTAGTATGTTTCACTTCACTGCATACACTTCATCTTCAATTGCATTAGTAGAAGAAAGATGCCAGTAACCAAACAAATTGGTATCATTTTCCAATTTTAATGGTGGTAGAAACATAAAAATCTACTGTTTTCCTTCTACAAACATCTTTAACAGAACCAAGACTCTCCACGAGGCTGAAATCGTGGGACTTCATGACCAGCACCTCCAACTGTTGCAAAAGTTAACCCATCATAAACTACTTGGTATCCAGCCACCTACAAGAATTTGAAATATTCATTCAGCCTAAGCAAGAAATTCTATTAAATGCACAAAGAAAATTAAAAATCTTCAGACATACTTCTCTGGTATCGTCTCATTCTTATTCCTTTTCAAGTCTTAATTATTTATTCTCAGCTAATTCTTCAGTTCTGATTAGATGGTGGAAGCTTTCCATCCAAGAAGGATGAAAAGAAGGCCAGTGCTCGAACTGGTTGGTAACTCGGAACAAAGTGTCCAGCTCCTCTTATGGTCACAAATGTTAGGTTTTTGTATCCAACCGCGTACCCACCAACCTTAAGAGACACAAAAATGCACATAAGCATGATTAAGTTATATAGAAAACTGAACAAAATTAAAGAAGAGAATGAAGAATACCGAGGCCTTTTTATATATACCTCGCCTTGGGTGTACCAGGGATACCATGGAGTCTCAACTGATGTTTTGAGCTTGTTTATGTCATACCTACTTGTTGTCACTGGCACTCTAGCATCCGTGTCTCCACTGCAAGTGAATTAAATTTTAATATAAAAGTATTTACAGCGATTTTGTTGCTAATTTTGATGAGATAGAATATATTTAAAAAATTTTGTAAGCAGAGTGGTTTTGTGTCACTTAATATGAGTTCTAACTAAAATAACAGCATTTAGCTTAATTATATCACTTACCTATAAATCCAAACACTAATACCACTGCCCATCAGCTCCTGAATGGTGGGTAAAACTGTAAATGGCGCGTCGTTCCAACTACCACCTATATAGTTGCTGTATTGCCATGCAATAAAAATATGAATAAGTAAAAAAAAAAAAGAAGATAGAGAGGCTCATAGGACTAACTAGTATTCCATAGGATTAATTGATGGATGTAGATAGTGTTGCTTTTACAATTTTTGTAAATGATTGAGAAATTAAACTATAACTAACTTTGAAGGAAAAGGGAAAAGAAAGAAAGGAAATTTAGTACTTGCAGGATTCCCATGTGCCCGGAAGACCTGTGACATTTGCATGAAGTGATCTTTGCACCTCAGGAGTGTTCAGGTAAGAGTGGATATAAGTATCTGAGCATGGATCAAATGCTGATAGCTGATTAATTCAAGCAAACAATTAATGGAAACTGCATGAGAAATATGAAAGATAAATTATATACTTAGAGAAAATTAAGGTTTCAAAGAATTGATCAGCAGAACTATATATACCGATGGAGAGTTTGAAGATGAAGAACACAAGGGTGCATAGATGTCATAAAAGAATATATTTTCTCGAGCTTGCATGGCTTGATCAGTATAGCTTATACATGCATCTGAATCAGTTTCCGAAGAAAAATTGCAATTTAAAACAATCCCTTCATGAATTTCATCGGAAATGAGAGCGTGTGTCCAGAAATAATCGTACATTCCTGTGTATTCTGTTTCATAGTCTACATATGCATTGCCTATCTGAGCAATTCAACACATTCATGGATGTTAGTTTTCTTCCCACATTGATTGACACACAAACTTATGTACACATAACAGAGTTTACATAATATTTTGTTAGCCAGTTGAGACTTACAGCTATTCCTTTTAAGTTAATGACGGTCTGGTTTGTGATCTTGTTGTTTTGAAGGATTAGTTGAGCAAGCTGAGGAACATAATGCCCGGCATAGCTCTCTCCGGTTATGAAGAAATCTCGGGTTTTGTATTCTGGAAATCTTTCCAACCAGTTAACTAGAAAGGTATAAGAATCTGCTGCAGTTTTTTTATCTCCACTTAAATCGTAGTCTGATGTTGTGTTTGAATAAGAAAATCCAACACCTGCTGGAGATTCCAAGAATAGGATATTTGCAGCTGCATTGCCAAGGAAAATAACTATATATTGTAAGAGGGCTACTTAATTGAGTTGCTTTCTTGTTAAGAAACCAAGTGATTGATTATTTATCAGAATTAAAGGACTACTGACCATTGTTCCAAGCATATTTGTTTTCTGATAGAGTTTTGCCATCACTATTGACTCGAAATGGTCCAAGTTCCATCATTGCTCCATTTCCGAAAGAGGAGCAGCCAGGTCCTGCCGATCAAATTGATGATGGTATGGTGAGAAGTAACATTCAACAATGGTGAAATGCACATATATATGTGTGCATGATTATATATAGCATGGAAATACAGGGTGGTTGGTAACATTAGGGACTTTGTTCAAGGTTATGCTATTCCATGTACACGAACTCAAGCATGTGATCAGGGCAGCCTCTAAATTTCATGGGCACTTTTGCAAGGTGAAATCAGGGTACTTTCAACTTTTGGGCAGTGTTTCATTTTTGCAAGGCATTTGACTTTGCATTCTGTTGGACTAAGATGATATACAATAGTACAGTTCATGAAGATAGTACTACTTAAGTGGACTCTTTAGGAGAAATGTGCATGATTGTTACTAGAATTAGATCAGAACGTGTAATTTTGCTAAGCAGACTAAATTCACAAGTTGAAAGAAATAAAACTGTTGATTGTGGATCAAAAAAGACTTTACCTCCATTTAGCCACAGCACAAGTGGCTTACTAGAAGAGTTTTGGGACTCGACAAAGTAATAGAACAGTGCTCTACCGGCCTTAGGATCAACAGTGACATAGCCAGAGTACTGATCAAGATTCACTCCATTAGGCTGCCCCGACAATGTTGTGATCTTGTCAACTTCTTTCAAACCACCTTGAGGGCCTACATAAACAGGCAAATATTCTGTCTCCACAGCCTCGGTGACATAATTGGCCGAGAATTTTCTTGACCGTTGAGCCTCCAAAATTTTCTCAAGAGGGTCAAATCCTGTCCCTGCATAACATCGTACGAAAGCCACAAGGCTAAGAAGAATTGATATTAGAAATGCCACCTTCATTGATGCTACGCTGTAGAAATGCTGTTTGATCAATACTTTAATCCTTGCTTTTTATACTATGCTTGTTCTTGTTGGATTTGCATCATAACGACTTTTCTCTATTGTTTCTTGTGCTTATCTGATATTTATCTAATTTGTATGCATTTGGAGTGTTTACTTGTCTTTATCAAACTTTGCAGCTAATACAAACCAAAGATTTGTTATCTCCCTCTCTTTCTTTCTCTTCATTTTATTCTCTCTTTTGCCGGAATGAAGAAAATTTCTTCGAAGGATTTTGGAAGTTTGACAAGTACGGGCTAACTAATCAGCCGGCTCTTTGTTAACAAATGCCCCACAAAAGATTCCACAAGTTGGATGATTTGAATACTCTGCGGCACCAAAACCAAATTAGAGGTCAGAAACTCTGATTCCCAAAGACCACATATCATTTCCATTTGCTTACTTACGGTTGCTTTGTCCCTAAAGATAGCTATCTGATGATAATGATGGATATGTGTAGTGAAATACATAGTCTACATTAAAAATCAAGTTAATCAGTTTAACCTAGATCCAGAAAGTAGTATCACCTAATGTGTCATCAGATAAAAGATTGTTATGAGATGAGCCGATTCTGTGCACCTCTATTCACACAATTCTGTACAACCATTCCACAATTTTATGTGTGAACAAAGAAAGACATGTGAGCATGACGACTTACATGATATATTGCAATCCTTTTTGCTTAGCAATAATGAAAGTGGTACCAACCAGTTTGATGTATTTTTCTTTATGCAATCTACACTCATTGAGCCCCACATTTCATTGTTTTGTGAAGTCACCTTCAATTTTTCTGGCAGCGGGTTACTTAAATTTTTGTCTCCTCACATGTCACTTTTTTCCCCTTAAAGGTACTCCGATGTAAGATTATGTGAGCCCCTGGAAATGGATTAGTCCTCTGTTCTGGGTACTAATTATTTATTGCATGATTTTCTACTTTGGACTAGAAAAAATACATTTTTCAAATTGGGATTAGTTTGTATTTAGATGCACTTGTCTGGATCATTTGTAAAGTTAGTCAATAAATTAAGCTACTGCCACGAAAGCTGGAGTACATTGTTTTGTAATAAAAAGTTCAGCTTCTTCCATGGTTCTTCAAAATGAAATCATGGGGATTATTTTCATCCATGGATGCAGTCACTGAAATATATGCCGTTCTTTCTTGCAAATTTATAATTTTACCTTTACTTCATAACTGACTTATATTTAAATTTACTTGCAGGACAAATTTCAGTGTAAAGGCTCAGAAGAGGTAAGGAAGGGAGATAAAGAAATTTTTTATCTTTATTTTATTTTTTATTTCTATTACTAAGGTGGGTTGCATAATCTGTGCATACTCTAGCTTACCAAAAATTTTATTCCTTCAAGTTAAAATATCCCATGATGTTATCTATCTTAGAGAGAAATAAATTCCAAACTGATAACAGAGTATTATTATATATCAGTAATTTTCTGTGATAGAATATGTTTCACTTTATTGCATACATTTTTTTTCTTCAATTTTGCTAGTGTAGTAGAATGATGCCAGTAACCGAACAAAATGGTATCATTTTCCAACTTTAATGGTGGTAGAAACTAAAAAAAAACTCAACTGTTTTCATCCTACAAACATCTTCGACAGAACCAAGGCTTTGCAAGGCTGAAATCGTGGAATTTCATGACCAGCACCTTGAACTGTAGCAAAAGTTAATCCATCATAAACCACTTGGTATCCAGCCACCTTACAAGAACACGAAACATTCATTCAGCCTAAGCAACAAGTTCTATGAAATGCACGACGAAAAATTAGAAATCTTGAAACATACTTCTCTGGTATCATCTAACCAAGGATGCCAAGGTTTGATCTCTTTTAAGATTCAAAAGATCAATCGAATATCGTGTGTCAGTTACCAGAACAACTGCATCCATGTCACCACTGTCCACAACAAATTCACACATTCAGAAGAAGCATAAATTGTAGATCAAATCTATGTTCAAGGGCCAAAAAAACAAAAAAAAATGTAAACTTGGGTCATAAATTATAAATTAATAATGTGGTTATTGATGATTCTAGATCAACATTGTGACAAGAAATAAAATCTAATTACCTGTAAAGAAGTATGCATAAACCGGAGGAAATGAGCCTTCTGTATATAGGGATCACAGTTGATGGACTATCCTTCCAAGAAGTGGGCACAGTGCTGATAAATAAAGAAAAGAAGAGTCATTGTTTCTTGAAGTTACTTCTAGTGAAAATGATTGAAATATATATATAGAGATACGAACCTGCAAAAGTCCCAAGCATAGGGCAGTTTGGTGGTGTTAGCATGTAAAGCTTGTTGTACATGAGGGAGATTTAGATTGAGATACAAATAAGCATAGTTTTCTTCACAGGGATCATACCCTCTGAAGTGTCTTGGCTTCGTCGATAATGAGTCTGAGGAAGACAAACACAGGGGACTGTAGATGTTGTAAAAATATATCATTCTAACTTCTGTCCCAATTTTGTCTACAAACTTCTCACACTTGGGGCCAGTGGAGTTGTTGCAGTGCTTTATAAGTCCTCTATGAGTTTCATCTGAAATCAATGCATGGCTCCAAACAAAATCATATATTCGTCTCCCATCTGTCTCATCATTCATTATCCCATTTCCTATCTGTATCATTCACCAGAACAAAGGTAGGACTATTAATATAGTTGTAGTAAGTACTTAGCAATTGTATTTCCAAGTCTATAAATTATTTAGTAAAACACTAGCCACTAAACAGAGAATTGGAGCAGGAAAGGCACAGCAAGTAATATTCATTTGTTCAAACTCAATTCTCTCTCTATATCAACTAGTTTATTTAATGACTTGCTTATTTCATCCAAGGAAACTGCACATACTTAGTTCCACATTATCTCCATAGCTTATACATATTGTTAAATTTTGAATTGGATATTGAATATTGCTGTTTAAGTAGAATGTTACATATTTAAAATAAATAAATCAAAAATTTACACAAATTAACTCAGATATGTTAATATGTATTTTAATAATAAACAATTTCTAGATTAGTAACTTTGATTTCATTTTGTACTATTACGACATGAAACCCTATATTTACATGGTGAAGTAGCCATTTCTTTTACCTATATACTCTATGTGCAGAGAAGACCTTTTAAGTGTGCCATTTAGTACAAGTGACATAACCCATGTTGAGGGTAATATTAAGGAAAGTGGAAGACCAAAGTTATAGGAAAAACCTATGATTTTCTTTTACCTATATACTCTGTGCACTTGTCTTGATCGTTGAAAACGGCTATGTAATAAAAAGTCCAGCTTCTTCCATGGCTCTTTGAAATGAAATTATGGGGATTATTTTCATCCATGGATGCAGTCACTGAAATATATATGGGTCTTTCTCTGCTAATTTATAATTTTACCTATCGTCGTACTTGACTTATGATTAAATTTACTTACAAGGAAAATTTCAGTGTTAAGGCTCCGAAGAGGCAAGGAAGGGAGATAAAGAACTTTTTTATATCACTGATGTGGTTGCCTAATCTGGTGCATACTTTAGCTTACCAAAAATTTAAAGCAAAGGTATGAATTTATTCTTGTGGATGATATGTTATTACTCCAAGTTAAACATTTCCCATGATGTTATCTATCTAACAGAGAAATGAATTCCAAACTGATAACAGATTATTACATATCAGTAATTTTATGTGATAGAATGATTCGTTGCATACACTTCACCTTCAATTGTATTAGTAGAAGAATGATGCCAGTAACCGAACAAATTGGTATCGTTTCCCAATTTTAATGGTGGTAGAAACACAAAAATCTACTGTTTTCATTCTACAAACATCTTTAACAGAGCCAAGGCTCTCCATGAGGCTGAAATCGTGGGACTTCATGACCAGCACCTCGAACTGTTGCAAAAGTTAATCCATCATAAACTACTTGGTTTCCAGCCACCTACAAGAATTTGAAATATTCATTCACCCTAAGCAAGAAATTCTATTAAATGCACAAAGAAAATTAACAATATTCAGACATACTTCTCTGGTATCATTATATTCTAATTCCTTTTCAAGTCTTAATTATTTATTCTCAGCTAATTCTTCAGTTCTGATTAGATGGTGGAAGCTTTCCATCCAAGAAGGATGAAAAGAAGGCCAGTGCTCGAGCTGGTTGGTAACTCGGAACAAAGTGTCCAGCTCCTCTTATGGTCACAAATGTTAGGTTTTTGTATCCAACTGCGTACCCACCAACCTTAAAGAGACACAAAAATGCACATAAGCATGATTAAGTTAAATAGAAAATTGAACAAAATTAAAGAAGAGAATGAAGAATATAGAGGCCCTTTTATATATACCTCGCCTTGGGTGTACCAGGGATACCATGGAGTCTCAACTGATGTTTTGAGCTTCTTTATGGCATACCTACTTGTTGTCACTGGCACTCTACCATCTGTGTCTCCGCTGCAAGTGAATTAAATTTTGATATAAAAGTACTTACTGCGATTTTGTAGCTAATTTTGATGAGATGGAATGTATTTTAAAAAAATTTAAGCAGAGTGGTTTTGTGTCACTTAATATGAGTTTAAGCTAAAAGAACAGAATTTAGCTAATTTATACCACTTACCTATAGATCCAAACACTAATACCACTGCCCATCAGCTCCTGAATGGTGGGTAAGACTGTTAATGGCTTGTCGATCCAAGTAATAGCTACATCCAAGCTGTATTGAGATGCAATAAAAATATGAATTAGTAAAAAGAAAAGAGGCTCATAGGACTAACTAGTATTCCATAGGATTAATCGATGTATATAGATAGTGTTGCTTTTAGAGTTTTTGAAAATGATTGAGAAATGAATCTATAATTTTGAAGGAAAAAAGAAAAGATTGGAGGGAAATTTAGTACCTGCAAGATTCCCATGTGCCTGGAAGACCTGTGACATTTGCATGAAGTGATCTTTGCACCTCATGAGTGTTAAGGTAAGAGTGGACATAAGTATCTGAGCATGGATCAAATGCTGATAGCTGATTAATTCAAGCAAACAGTTAATGGAAACTGCGTGAGAAATATGAAAGATAAATTATATACTTAGAGAAAATTAAGGTTTCAAAGAATTGATCCGTAGAACTATATATACCGATGGAGCGTTTGAAGATGAAGAACAAAAGGGGGCATAGATGTCATAAAAGAAGATGTTTTCTCGAGCTCGCCTAGCTTGATCAATATAGGTTGCACATGCATCTGAGTCAGTTTCCGAAGAAAAATTGCAATTCAAAACAATCCCTTCATGAGTTTCATCGGAAATGATAGCGTGTGACCAGAAATAATCGTACATTCCTGTGTATGAAGTTTCATAGTCTATATATGCATTACCTATCTGAACAATCCAACACATTAGTGAATGTTAGTTTTCTTCCCACATTGATTGACACAAATTATGTACATATAACGGAGTTTACATAATATTTTGTTAGTCAGTTGAAACTTACAGCTATTCCTTTTAAGTTAATGACAGTCCGCTTTGTGATCTTGTTGTTTTGAAGGATTAGTTGAGCAAGCTGAGGAACAAAATGCCCAGCGTAGCTCTCTCCGGATATGAAGAAATCTCGGGTTTTGTATTCTGGAAACCTTTCCAACCAGTTCACTAGAAAGGTATAAGAATCCACTGCAGTTTTTTTATCTCCATTTGTACCGGAGTCTGATGTTGTGTTCGAATAAGAAAATCCAACACCTGCTGGAGATTCCAAGAATAGGATATTTGCAGCTGCATTGCCAAGAAAAATAACTATATATTGTAAGAGGGCTACTTAATCGCGTTGCTTTTTTGTAAAGAAACTAAGTGAAGGATAATTTATCAGAATTAAAGGACTACCGACCATTGTTCCAAGCATATTTGTTTTCTGATAGGGTTTTGCCATCACTATTGACTCGAAATGGTCCAAGTTCCATCATTGCTCCATTTCCGAAAGAGGAGCAGCCAGGTCCTGCCGATCAAATTGATGATGGTATGGTGAGAATTAATCATTCAACAATTGTGAACTTCAGATATGTTTGTGTGTGCGCGCACATGATTATATATAGCATGGAAATATATGGTGCTCGGTAACATTAGGGACTATGTTCATGGTCATGCTATTTCATGTACACTAACCCTAAGCATGTGAACAGGTTTCATGGGCACTTTTGCATTGTGAAATCAGTGTACTTTCATCTTTTGGACACTGTTTCATTTTTGCAAGGCATTTTGACTTTGCATTCTGTTGGACTAAAATGATATACAATAGAGTACAGTTCATGATGGTAATAGTTCTTAAGTAGACTCTTTAGGAGAAATATGCATGATTGTTACAATAATTAAGATCAGAATGTGTAATGAAACTAAGCAGACTAAATTCACTAGATGAAAGAAATAATATTGTTGACTGTAGATCAAAAAAGACTTTACCTCCATTTAGCCACAGCACAAGAGGCTTACTAGAAGAGTTTTTGGACTCGACGAAGTAATAGAACAATGCTCTACCGGCCTTAGGATCAACAGTGACATAGCCAGAGTACTGAACAAGATTCACTCCATTAGGCTGCCCCGGCAATGTTGTGATCTTGTCAACTTCTTTCAAACCACCTTGACGGCCTACATAAACAGGCGAATATTCTGTCTCCATAGCCTTGGTGACATAGCTGGCTGAGAATTTTCTTGACCGTTGAGCCTCCAAAATTTTTTCAAGAGGGTCAAATCCTATCCCTGCATAACATTGTATGAAAGCCACGAGGCTAAGAAGAAGTGATATTAGAAATGCAACCTTCATTGATGCTGCGTTGTAGAAATGTTGTTTGATCAAATACATTAATCCTTTCTTTTTATACTATGCTTGTCCTCGTTGGATTCGCATCATCACGATGACCTTCTCTTCGTTCCTTGTGCTTCTATGATATTTATCTGATTTTTATGGATTTGGAGTGTTTACTTGTCTTTGTCAAACTTTACAGCTAATACAAACAGAAAATTTCAACAAAGGATTTTGGAAGTTTGACAAGTATGAGCTAATTAATCAGCCAGCTCTTCTTTAACAAATGGCGCTCAAAAGATTCCATAAGTTTGACGATTTGAATACTCTGCAGCAACAAAAGCAAATTAGAGGTCAGAAACTCTAATTTTGAATTTTGAATTTTGAATATCACAAGAACCACATATCATTTCCTTTGCTTGCTTAATGTTGCTTTGTCACTAAAGATATGTATGGTAAACTACAGAGTCTACATTAAAGTCATCAAATAAAAGATTGTTATGAGATGAGCTGATTGTGATTCTGTGCACCTCTAGACACACAATTCAGCACTCGAGCATCCCAGAATTTTTTTGTGTGACCTATAAAGTCATCAGATAAATGATTGTGGTCCCTCTTGCTGCTCATTGTTCTTTTCTGCATTTAGTGGTTACCAACCAAGTTAGTTGATTTTTATATGGAATCTAGACGCATTAGTGAGCACCACACTTGATTTTTATATGCAATCTAGAAGCATTAATGAGCACCGCACTACATTATTTTGTGAAAGTCTCTGTCGCAGACAGTCCACACCACTCCTCACGGTGCTCTGGATTTTCCATAACGCATCTATACAGTTAGGGGATGTTCAAACATACAAGTCTCGACAACTTTCCACTAGGCATGTGTGACGTCAGTCTCCTTGTGGAGGATATGTTTACTCCATCTTACACGGAATAAATTTCAAACTGATAACAGATTATTATATATCAGTAATCTTATGTGAATGAAAGATTCATATGTTTCACTCGATTGCATACACTTCATCTTCCATTTTGCTAGTAGAAGAACAAGTAACCGAACAAATTGGTATCTTTTCAATCTTTAATGGTGGTAGAAACTTAAAAAATTTCTACTGTTTTCATCCTACAAACATCTTCAACAGAGCCAAGGTTCTGCGAGGCTGAAATCGCGGAACTTCATGACCAGCACCTCGAACTGTAGCAAAAGTTAGTCCATCATAAACCACTTGGTATCCAGCCACCTACAAGAACACGAAACATTCATTCAGCCTAAGCAACAAGTTCTATTTAATGCACCACGAAAAATTAAAAATCTTCAAAACATACTTCTCTGGTACCATCTGACCAAGGATGCCAAGGTTTGATCACTTTAAGGTTCAAAAGATCAATCGAATATCGTGTGCCTGTTACCGGAACAACTGCATCCATGTCACCACTGTACACAACAAATTCACACATTCAGAAGAAGCATAAATTGTAAATTAATGATTATAGATCAACATTGTGACAAGAAATAAAATTTAATTACCTGTAAAGAAGTATGCGTAAACCGGAGGAAATGAGCCTTCTGTATATAGGGATCACAGTCGATGGACTATCCTTCCAAGAAGTGAGCACCTTGCTGATAAATAAAGAGAGGAAGAGTCATTGTTTCTTGAAGTAGCTTCTAGTGAAAATGATTGATATATATATATATATAGGTATGATTATGTGAACCTGCAATAGTCCCAAGCATAGGGCAGTTTGGTGGTGTTGGCATGTAAAGCTTGTTGTACATGAGGGAGATTGAGATACAAATAAGCATAGTTTTCTTCACAGGGATCATAGCCTCTGAAGCGTATCGGTTTCGTCGGTAATGAGTCTGGGGAAGACAAACACAGGGGACTGTAGATGTTGTAAAAATCTATCTTTCCAATTTCTTTCCCAATTTTGTCTACAAACTCCTCACAGTTGGGGCCGGTGAAGTTATTGCAGTGCTCTTTAAGTCCTCTATGAGTTTCATCTGAAATCAATGCATGGCTCCAAATATAATCATACATTCCTCTCCCATCTGTTTCATCATCCATTATTCCATTTCCTATCTGTGTCATTCACCACAACAAAGAAAGGATTATTAATGTAGTTGTAGTAAGTAATTAGTAATTGTGTTCAAGTATTCAAATTGTAGAACACCAGTCAATTAGGTCTCTACACCAACTACTTGATTTAATCACTTGCTTATTTCGTCACATAAAATAAAAAGATAAAAAATTTAAAAACAAAGGCCTTTAGTTTTTGCTCAGTTTGAAGACTGAAATACCTAAAATGGCTTGAAGACAAAACAAAAAACACTAATTTCAGTTTTTAAAGATATATTAAGGGTCAATAGGGGACAATTTCAATTCTTACATATTTTCAAATGTTAAAAATTTATATGCACATATTAAATAGCAGGGGTGGTTTTTTTGCACATTTTAATATAGCAGGGGGGTGTTTGGACTTTACTCTTTAAAAAATCAATATTTTGTAAAAATGAACTCAGATATGTTAATATGTATTTTAATAATTTAAGCAATTTCTAGATTAGTAACTTTGATTTCATTAACATAAAAAACTTACATTTATATTATTTAAGAGACTTTTAGAATATCAAAGTACCCTCACCATTTCACCAAGATATATATTCTCAAATATATTGATATTCAGTTTTCCAATCTTTTAGTAATCTAATGTAAAAGGGAAACCCTGTATTTACATTTCTTTTACCTATGTATGCAAGGAAGTGGCATCTATTTTATTTGCTAAAAATAATTTAAAAATTTATACTAATATGTCCAAAGTAGAAAATTTTACATCATACAACAATTATTATTATTATTATTTTTATCATATATCTATAAAGCAATCTTTTCAACATAGAAGCAATGGGACTGTTTGGTGTTTTTACCATGATGCCCTTGAGTTGGATCTTTAAGGAAGAGTCCACCTCCATGTTTGTGTTGATGATTAACTCTGAAAGCTCTGGAATGTAATAGCCTGTACCATTCCAACAGAATTAGTTATCACGTGGGCTGGGCCAGAACAACACTTCTTAGGCTAGCTGGACCCATTTTGCATTTAGTTGGGCCGGACCTGGATTCAATTGGGCAGAGTTAAATACAAGATCCATTGTTCTGAGACGGGTTTTGGGTGGGTCCTCATTTGTTCTCTATGCCTTAACCAAATCAAATCCAACTATCAAACTGGTACTCAATATGAATGGTAGAATTTGGAGGTGCTACAACAAAGTTGCCCCCAAATCATGGAGAAGGCATCAGGGGCACACCGTGTACTTGGCTCATTCGTGTAGTATGTGCACAATATTTATGATTCGGATGAGAATGTACGGTGCGCCGAACACACCCAATATTTATTCCAAATGAAGAAAGTACCACATAAGGAGGAGGTCCATTTGGCTATAAGCAATTATTACATGAGTCAGGATTTTATGGTCCCGGTCAATCACAACTCAACATGTAAATAAATGTGTTAAATTTATTCAAAATTTTCTTAGATGCCAAGTTGTGATTGGTTGGGACCATGTAATCTCATATAATGTAAAAATTTCACCCTTTTCTATTATTATTAATTTTACCCTTTTCAAAACTTAGTTTTTTTTTTTTTTTTTTTTTTTTCTTTTTCTCTTTTCCAAATTTTAGTTGCCAAGAGAAGTTTAGAGTTTAGATACCTGAATAGCTTTCACCCATGATATATAAATCCCTAGCCTTATACTGCGGAAATCTTTTGAACCAACTTGTCAAGAATATATATGTATCTTCACCTGTAAAAAAAAAAAGTATATTAGTAGAAATAAAATACATATACTCTACACACACAAACTATGCATATTATATTATATTTTATATATATGAGGATTAATTAATTTTTTTACAAACCCGCATGTAGTCTAATGGTATAATTTCCTATCTTCAAAGAAAATTTTGTTGTTAATTGAAAATATTTATATATTACTGATGAGCCAAACCACCACTTATACTTAATTGTAACAAACATGAAACTTTAGACAACGCTTTGTCAAAGAAAAACAGGAAAGCTGGTTCTGTGACCCACCTGTCCTTTTATCCCCTGCTGTGGCGTAGTCGGAACTGGTATTGGAGTAGGAGAATCCGACACCGGCCGGGGACTCCAGAAACAAAACATTTGCAACTGCATCATGATGCACACAATACAAGTGAAGTGAAATTAGCACACACGGCTTCAAAATGTTACTATACGACCTACATTAATCATGATAAAATAATGATAAGGTACTTAATTCACCACCAGGCATTTGTAATAAACAAAATTAGTACTACAAATATAAAAAAGTAATAAAGCAGAATGATTTGAATAAGTTAATCATTAGATTGAAAATACCAATATACTAACCTTTGTTCCATGAATGTTGCCTAAGATACAGAGTTTTACCATCTGGTTTAACTCCAAAAGGTCCATTCTCTACCATGGCACCAACCCCAAGTGAAGAACAACCGGGTCCTGCAGGTCCATGCAATCGTTACTATAGAGTATAAAGCACTTCACCCTATAATTAAGGAGTTGGTATCCACTGTCATGCCGAGTACAGCAATGGACGATTGTGATTGAAACACACTGTCGTGTAATCACAACTCTCTATCGTGTATTTCAAATCACAACCCTTGATTGCTGTACTGCACGAATACAGAAATAGAGGGTTGTCATTAAAATACACACAAAAATACATACTGCTGTCATAGTGTGTTTCAATCACAACTCTTAATTGTCGTAATAGAGTAATGGAGGGTTGCGATTGAAATACGTCACAACCCTTCATTGTTCTACTACATTCATCCGTACAGTATTGCAGAGGATTCTGGTCCATAATTAAGATTAGGAGAAAAGGCATATATAATATAGAGAGAGAGAGATTTCACCTCCATTTAGCCAAAGAATTAGAGGGGTAGAAGAGGGATTTTCGGCAGCCTCAGCAAAGTAATAGAAAAGGCTTCTGCCATTGGATTTATCAACAGTAATGTACCCTGCATACTGATTAAACAATACCCCAGATGGCTGTCCAGGAAGGCCACCTTTAATGAGATCATCTTCCATCTTCCCAACATCAGAAGAAGATTGTTGTCCACCTGAATTACTTGACGGACTCAACTTCTCATCATCAGAAGGATAAGTACCACCTTGAGCTTTCATTTTAGCGCGGCGCAAGGCCCTGAGTGGACCTGCTTGATCGATTCGTGAGCCGTGACTAAGGTCATGGACCATCATGATGAAAAGAAGAATGAAGAAGTTGAGCTTTGCAGTAGAGAAGAATTCATGGTTCTTCTCCATTGCAAAGGATGAGAGAAACAAGAGTCACGGGCACAATACTACTATAGTGGCGGCTCCTTTAGGCCTGCTATATATATAGACTTCAAGTCCAACTTCTTACGGCATCTCCAATGCTAGAAGTTATTTTCACACGTCAAATTTATATTTTGACAAGTGTTACAGTGTCAAAATATTATATTTTAGCAATTCTGTTCCGATGCATTTCATGTAAAATGTTATTTTTTGACATAACCACCATTCTTTTTCAACTACCATTCCCACCATTCATATTTGCATCAGTAATATTAATATTAGGCACATTCTAAGTCAAATTGTAGACATTAAAAGAAAACTAAAATTAAACCTAATTAAAAAGAAACAAACATCTAAAATATCTGGTCGAAAAAGGAACAAATATATATATATATATATATATATATATATATATAAATTGATATATTTGATTATATTATTATATAATTTTTTTATATAAATTTTTTTTTTTTTGGAAATTCATATATATATATATATATATATATATATATATGTATATTATATATATTTGAGTATATTATTATTAAAAATATATATATTTTTAGGGCAAATCATTTCAGCCTCTCCAATCGCCTCCATCTCTATTCTCGTTCTCAACTCTAGACTCCCCCCCTCTCTGTTCTCTCTCTCCAATTGCAAGCTAGAAAATCTACAAGAATCAGAAGTTGAAAACCCATGTATTTCAGTTTATCTATCTGTTTGCAAGAATCAAAAGATCAAAACCCATATCGGCATATCATTTCAGATTGTTCAAAAACCCATATCTTTCAGTTTACATCGCCCGTTGTTCCAGTTTGAGTTCGCCGTTCGCAAGCTTCAGCCGTTCTCTCAACTCTCAAGTTTGGCCCCTCTCTCTCTCTGCAACTGCTAAATTGTATGCATGGGTTTTGTTTTAATTTTTTTTCTAAATCAACTAATCAAGGTCTGTAATTTTTGTTTTGCAAACTAAATCCTATTTAGTGAAATTTTTTATGATCTTTTTTAAGTGAGTATATATATATATATATATATATATATATATATATATATATATATATATATATAGACGAATTTGGATTGAAATTATATATGTGTGTGTGTGGAACAACTTTTGGATTGAGATTATATCTTTTTATTGGAACAGCTTTTGGATTGAGATTATATATGTGTGTGTGCGCGTGTTGATACACAGAGAGAGAAGGCTTGCAAAAAAAATTGACAGCTCCTACATCTGAGAGAAAATTTGACATTCTCAAAATTTGAGAGCTCAAATGAAAAGCCGTTGGAGAGTCCAAGTTTTGCACCTCTCTCAAATTTTAAATTTAGCAGCCCATATGAAAGAGCATTGGAGATGCTCTTAAATGCCTAAAATAGCCCTTGTCCAAATACAAGTCAAGCCTTAACTTAACGGTTATTAGGGATCCATTGTGATCTGAAAGTCGGGTTTAAAATAGAAATTAACTCCTTAAACACGCCGGAGTCTCGAACACTGGGGATAACCCCTTTTAGCCTTCGTCCAAATATAATTTTGAGAGTTGGTAACTAAATTATTGTGGAGGTAAGAAAATGATGGGTCAAATTATTTAAGATTGTGTCGGTAAAATTTTTCGATGGTGTTTGGCTAATTAAAACATGTGACTTGCAAGATTGAAACATGTGACTTGCATGATTGAAGAGACTATTGGGCAAACTGGAAAGCAATCATGGAGGTTGATCTAGGGTTGAGGTCTTCATTAAAGTCAAGTTCTATTTTAAATAAGAAAGAAAAACATTTATTCAATCATGTTTGATATAGTACTCCAGTTCTTTCTTCTCCCTTTTTTTTATTTATTTATTTATTTATTTTTATTTACCTGGCAAGGAGGGGAGAGAGGACCGTTTGGATAAGTCAAACCTGACCTATCACTCCGTTCTTCAAATCTTCACATGTTTTTACTGATCAGACTATCCAACTCACCTAAACTATCAAACCATGAGGAAGTGTCTCTCTAGCAACTAAACTATCCAACTCACGTCGACTCTATTTTTAATTTAAAGAAATAAAAAGATATTGAATCAAGTGTGGCATAGTACTCGTCCATTTGTATGGGTCCCACTTAAAATGCAACATTAATCAGTATCATCATCCTTTCTTTTATTTTATTTTTGCCTATATCCAGTACGAAAATCAATCAACCACCTAAATTCTCTTTTTCAATTTTTTTTTTTTTGTTCTTTATTATCGTAAGTCATTTCTTCTACTAAATTTAATTTTTTTCACTCATTTTTTTATCACTTCATTTCATCTTAATTTTGATGGATCTATTTATCTTTTACCTTCTAGACAAATTAATTTTCTCTATAGAGTTAATGTTAAATATGTTCATACCACTTAAATTGATTACTAAAAATATTTTTTCTAATTATAACATCATTATTAACTTTCACATTTTTAATTACTTCTAACATTCCCCGTCTCATATAAAATATCTGGTCTAATAATTATTCTATACTTTGCCTTTTAATCATTGAAGAAATGAAATCAACAATAATAATATAATCCAAATAAGTCTACAAAAAAATATTAAATATCTCATATATGGTACCGGGATCATTCCAGCCATTCTATGTGGTGGGCTCGTCACTCTATCGATGATCCAACCACTCCCATTGCCCCGAAATTCCATACCCCCAAGGTATATGTTAGTTCAATTACCCATGATATATCCTTGTTAATTGGGAGTGGTGAATTGATTAAAACGTTAAGATTTAATATTGAGAATATATATATATATATATATATGATTACCCTCAATTATTGACCAAAGCCTGGCCTGCCCTTTTTGAGATGATATATACATCATCTTTTGGAAATGTGTGTATAACTTTTCCAACAAATAAGGCTAGTTGTTTCAACTAAAAGTAATTTTATTTGGAGTATTATTTTTAAAATGCATAGTTTTCTTCACATTGAAAAATAGTAGTACTCCGTATATGAATACTATTTCACTAACCGAGGAAACCGTTGTATAAATAGCAAACAAACGTATATAAAAACCTAAAAACACTCAAAACCAAACGCCTTTTTGAACCTCCCGAAACTGAACACACGAATCATGCAGTATGATGACCTGAATTCACTCTGTACTAATGGAGCCACCGCCATAGAGAGAGGGGGTAATGTGTATCAGTGTATGTATATGTGTGTGTGTGTATATATATATATACACGAAGTATTATTTTTAGGGTGATGGGTTACGGGTATCAGTGTATGTCTATGTGTATGTATATATATATATATATATATTGGAGTATTTTTAGGGTGATGGGTGTGATTAGAAGCATGTGCAGCCCACGTGCTGGCAGGAATAAGAAAATCTAACAATCACGGACCACCTCTTCGGCTTGCTTGTTAGCCTCTTCCAATATGGGCCATGCTTACATCTGCTTTCTGTTATTCCAGTACTGTAAAGATTCTTTTGTGATAAACCCAGAATCTAACACTTATGCAAATATATGATATTTGCAAAAAAAAAAACTATATAATATAAATATATAACAATGCAACTCGTCTAATTGTTATTACATTATTGACTTAAGCTCTATTTGTTTTGATAATTTTTCTCTTTTAGGTAAAAATATTTATTTTTATTTTCAGTATTTGGCAAAAGTTCAAGTCAAGTTTGTCAAGCAGAGCATCTAAAATAATTTATCCAAAATTAATGAGTAAATTATTTTTGTAAAGTTTTAATATATTTTTTTTATAAATATTTTTTATTTTATTTTACAACAACCAAATACTAAAAATAAAAAGATATATATATATATATATAAAACAAAATTTTACATCCAAATACATTGTAAGTTTGAAAATTATTGCATTATGGATTTGATTCTTTGGACACTAAGCTCATATAACATATGTATGTAACTTGGGGATGCCACTCTAATTCAGTGAAAACACGGGGTGACCCTTTTCACACTCGGACAAAGTAAAGAAATCAAAGTTGTATGGTGCCAGCTAAAAAGGTAATTCTTATGCTTTTGTCTATAATAATTCAAGGAAAAAATGACAGCTTTGTTGAGTGCCATCATATTCATAGTTGACCAGATACTCCATGAAAAGTGAAAAGTACCACCGTTGATGTTGCTAAATTACTATAATACCTATGTATTTTATTAAAAAGTCCTAATTAAGTTTCTTAATCCTCCCTATGTTGATTTTCCATATTACTTTTGCAGAAAATAGTGTATAGAATTTCCTCCTATTAATGATTTAAGAAGAAAATACTGTATATAACTTTTTAAGAAAAATTAATGAGTGAGGTGGGGTAGAGCAGAGAAGGTGAGTAAACGAAAACTACGGTTTTGGACAGAAACAAAGAATGCTACCTTAAATGAGAACCGGAATGGCAAAGAGAGCCCACCCTTTGCCATTCCTAAAAAGAAGTGATGGGGCTGAATTACAATTATTAAAATAGATCAGAAAGGAGTAGGGAAATGGCTCCTCCTCCCCCATCCCTCTCTTTACTTTACATCTATGCCCTTTAAAAAACTGTGGACAAATAACTTTTTCGTGCAGAGCCCTAATAATTAAATCAAACATTTCTCATTTTTCTTCTTCATCCAAACTAAAAGAGGGAGGACGACTCTTCCTTTTACTCTCCTGAAATTTTCTGTGCAATCCAGTACTCCTACTACTTTCGGATAGTAAGATACTGACCAGCTTTCACAAACCCTGAAGCTCATACTCAACCGTGGATCAATTTATTAATCTAGTATCTCAATCGTTTTTCGAAGATAATGAAAGCAAATTACTGTCTTGCATCCAATGTAGCCTTCAGTGTTTTTGTAGCAAATGTGATCATAAAATCACTAGCAGGAAGGCAAAAAACTGTCACTGTGGAGAAAACTTGACCAAAATAACACAAGCAGGAAGGCAACACAGTGTCAAATGGAGTGTAGGAATGATTAACCTAAACTTGGTTGTGAAAAGTACATAAGCAAGTGTGGAGAAGACTTCACCAAAATAGCACCAACTACAAGGCGAGAGACACTGTCACAGGCAGTGTGTAGAAGATTAACCTAAACTCGATCATGAAAAGCACATAAGCAAGTGTGGAGAAGACTTCACCGAATAGCGAAAGACAGGAAGGAGAGAGACACTGTCACAGGGAGTGCAGAGAAGATTATAACCTAAACTAGGTCATGAAAAGTTCAAATGTGGATGAAGTGGATAAAAACTCTAGGACACAGTTACACACCAGCAGGGACCTGCCTGTTGCAAGGCATGGTCATAAAAATTCTGCTCTAGACAACCTTTCAATTTTCTGTTCCACAAAATCAAATACCAAAAAGAAAAAGAAATGGTCCACAAGCATAAACCATGATTCATGAATCAATTAAGTTCAAATGGTTGCCCCTAAAATTCCAATAGGTTTTAACAAAATATTGTAGAAGTCAGCGGTACGAAATCCTATCCAGCTACAAAACTCAACAAAGAACAAGTTTTAGTAAACAAGCAACTGATTCTGTCATAATTTTGCTCAAGTTTTTGACAAATGCAATCAAAATGCCTGTCCAGTAAGTTCAGCTTACTGGCTGCTGGTGATTGCTATAGCCATTTGACGCCACAGCATACGTGCTTGGATCCTGATTCTCTGGCGCAGCATATCCTTGCCTGCTATAACCTTGCCTTCCATTGTAACCCCCATTCCATTGGTTATTAGAATCCGTTCTAAACTGCCAAGAGTATTAAAATATAATTAAAGAACGCGTCAAATAGGGAAAACAAACAGGAGATAAGAACAAAATAGAAAGCTTTCAACTATCATTTTCTTTATTCGTAGATTTACACCAAAATTAGTAGTAGTTTAAATTGAACAATAATTCAAAATTCTAAAATTTGTTCAACTTTAAGGAGTATTAAATATAAAGGGCTTGAGATCAGCTTTAGAACCAGAAATCTTTTTGCAAAAAATATAAGGAAACAATAATAAATACAACTCCTGCTTAACTTAAATCAAAAACAATGTGGGATGAATTTCAGCAGTGTAACTTAAATATAATAGAAAGCAAAGAAGCAGGATCAATTTCAGTTGCAGAAAAGCAGAGGGGCAAGAAATATAAATATTTCCTTCTCCTTTTTGTTCATTGACTAATAAGAAAATCTGTCACGAGTCTAGATTTTCCTCATGCAGATCATTGAATCATACCCGACAGATATCAAATTACAATCATGTATTGGCAACGGTACAAACATGTATCCATAGCATTGACACAGACAAATGTGTAATGCTTAAATAAGAAAATGGTCAACTATGGATTCGATTAATTTGAAATTTTCTTTTAAGTAATTTAAGGAGAAAAGATTTACCTGCTTGTTCGCTGGACTTCGACCCCAAGCAAGACGAACTGTCTGCTTGCCAAGCACGGTCCCATTCAGCATTTGAATTGCATCCTCGGCACTGCTTCTGTAAATCGTAATAATAAATAAATAAACCACAAAACAGTGTCTGTTATTCTATGTTTATACTGTTAACGTATGGGGAAAAATAATTACTAGCATTATTTTTATTTTTGATGAGTACCATTATTGCAATTATTTACAGTTACATCATTCACTTTTTGAATAATAATTTTCATATTTAATTTGAAAACAAATGCCTTCACCTCAACTCAACTGAAAAAAATAAGTGTTCACTCAACTATACATGAAGTGCTGCTACATGAATCCTGACATTATATCTTCAGTTAACGTTTAAGGTAACTAAAGGCAGTGAGAAATTATTATTTATGGACCATTTACGGACCTTATTATTCCTTAATATGAAATCATTATTAGATCCCATTAATATTGACACTTGCATTTTTATGTAAATTAAATTAAATAGACTACATTGAACTACATCATAAAGGCATACCTGTTAGCAAATTGTACAAAACCACATCCTTTTCCAGGTGGTATTTTTACAGAGAGAACTTCGCCAAACTGAGAAAAGGTCTGCCTGAGATCTTCATCAGTGATATCTGAGTCGAGCCCTCCCACAAATATCTAATATAAAAGAAGGTTAATGAAATATTCTAGAGTTGCTGATAGCTCTGAAGAGAAGCTGTACTCACTGTTGTGTTAGATGAATCACTGTCAGACTGGGAGCCCTGAGGCATAACACCATTTGCTGCATATCCACCAGCCAATACCACAGCTGATCAAGGTAAATGAAAATCAGTTTGTTGATCAATATCCAAATGTAACACATCAGATACACAATTGATAGTGCCAAGACCACTCCAGCACAAGCGGACGGTGATAAAGTGCTGGCATGGCTTCTCAAAGGGAGGGATGAAGTTAAAGGTTCAATTTTCATAGATGTCCAGCAAAAAGAGATGAAACTGACAACTTTTTTAACAATAATCTCAATCAGTTGATTACCACAAAAAAGGAGAGGAAAAGGTAACCAGCTCAGCAGTGAAATTCAATGTTTTAAAACTCGGACCTTCCATCAATCCGAAAGAGACCAGCTAAGGTCAATGGCTGTTGGGTAAAAAGCCGTGGCATCATAAACATACAAAGTAATATTTAATCAAACATTAAAATTGTATAACATTATTGAAATGTATGAAGAATTTTACGAATTCCCTGATTTTTTACCACATTTTTCACTAAATTTTTCAAACATGTTTTCAGTAAATTTATTAATATGTTACAGGAAACTTCTCATGTCAGATCCACCAAAGATGATGCAACTTGCAATTGCAAGTAAAAAACAAATAAGAATGATAATGACATTAATAATAACAATAACAACAACGGCAATTGTTAACTAAAGCAGTGACATGCAGCTCTTCTCAAGCGATCCAAGTCCCAAAACTAATATGCAACACTAATACCATTGAAACTTGGAAGGGTACTCGTCTTATTGAAAATTTTAAAGTCCAAATAAAATTTAGAAATGAATGGAAGGAAAGCTCATATGTAATATACACAACTACATCTGAACAACGTAATGTAAAAAAGCAACACATCACTGTATTTCTTATTAGGCAAACTTAGAAATTTTCTAGCCCAAAAGCTTACATATAAAGAAAACAGGGACAAAAACCAAAAGAAAAGAAAAATAGGAATAGTGACCAAGATATATCAAAAACAAATAAAACAAAAATAAAACAATGATTGGGCAAATTTTACAGAAAATACTGATGCCAGACAGCAAATATATCACTTCTTTTTCTGGACTGGCAAGGAAATGAATTAAGAAGCACCATACATTAGCAAAACAGGGATTATTGCAGCACACCTTGTGATGAATATCCCGATGGCTTCTTGGGGGTTGCAACACCTAGGCGCATGGGCCTGCTTGAACAATACATGCCATTCATTTCAGTCATGGCCCTGGACCTCTCATTTTCATCACCAAACCTAACAAAACCATAACATTTTGAACGGCCAGTATTTGGATCAACAACAACTTTTGCACCTTTAACAGATGGATATCTAGTGGCAAAAGTTTCATGCAATACTGCGTCGGTAACATCTGAAGCCAAATCTCCTACAAAAATAGATAGACCAGAACCAGCATCTGGATGCCTATCACCTGTACTAAAAGTTGCCCAATTCAGGCGAAAAGCTTGATCTGTATTTGGCATGATAGTGCCATTATAGTTCTGCAAAACTTTCTCAGCTGCTGCATGAGAAAAAAACTCTATGAATCCATATCGTTCTGATTGACCTGTCTGCTTGTTGCGAATAACCTTTACAGAGGAGAGCTACAGATGCCATGATACCAAAGGTCAGGAAATAAGGGCAGAAAAAGAGAAACAAAGAACACAATGGTTGTGCAGAAAATTCAAACAGACAAAAAGGCCAAAAGAATCATCTCTCCAAGAAGCTGCAAGTCATAAACACCATATTCCACAAATCTAGTTAAAAATTCCCAATACATAATATTAATAATGAGATGAAGAGTGATTGTGGAGGTGCCAATAGCAAATGTATAAACTGGGTTATATGAATTCTGGTCAAATAATCGGTGTCAGTATGTTTCTAGGTGTCAGAACTATCTTCTTTCCAAACTTTAGATCAAATATGGCAAAATTGCCCAAGTGCCCACATTTTTTACAACCTCATGAAATCAATTACATGGTGGTACTCAATTTGTTTAAAAATTAAAAGCATAGGTAATGAAGCAAAGCGGTTGACAGAAACTCTAAATGCAAGTTTTTGGTTTGTATAGCATAGCTCCAATTATGCTTTGACAATTTCCATGTAAAACTTAATAAATAAAAAAACTTGCTAGATGAATTATGTTAAACGTTTGACTGTATATTATAAGAATTTGATATAATTTACAATAAGGTAGCATTTTAGTTGGGTTACCAATTTTCACTTCGGTGCCTTTCTTTCTCAAGAATTCTGACTTCAAAACTCATCTAACACCAACTACCTTTAATCTTCTATAAATCATGCACCAAAGGTACTGCAACCTAACGGAAACCTTTTGAATACAAGAAAACAATTTATTTCTTCTAACACAATAATTCAATTCCATGTTAGATTTCCTTAAATAAAATTTAAAAGAAAAATAGAATAAAAAAACGATTCAAACATCCACCAATGAACATAACTTCCATATTTTCGTAAAAAAAAAAAAAAACTTCCATATCATTCAATTTCAGTTTCTAAATCAATAACTCACATAGTCACACTTCACTAAATGTTTCAATTATTTTAAGCAACTAATTAACAATATATTAAGATTCGTCAAACAGAAAATTAAACATTACCAAGAAATACATATAACGCACATACCCATAAGAGGGTAGAATAAAGAAAACCCTAACCTCGCCAGTGTGAGCGAAGCAGGTGCTAAGGTAGGTCTCATCCATCCAAAGTTGGAGGTCACCGACCCAGATCGTCTTGTTGTCTTCGCTGGTGACCTGAATCTGAGATTCGGACTGAGCCAGTCGCTGTTGTTGCTGTTGATAGGGCTGCTGTTGTTGCTGTTGATAGGGCATGTAATGTTGCTGATGATACATCATCTGATGCTGCATCGCCATTGCAGCCGCAGGGTATTGCATGCCCATCCATTGCTGCTGATACTGCTGCATCCATTGTTGCTGCTGATACTGCTGTTGCTGCTGTTGATTCAGATCAGCACCGTTGGTTGACTGCATCATGAAGTTCCTCTCTCTCTCCTCTCCCCTCCCTTCTCCCTCTCTCTCTCCTCTCCCTTCTCTCTCTCTCTAAATCAGAGATTTGGAGCCGAATTGGTAAAGAGACAGAAAGAGTGTGGCGGCCTGGTCTGAAAGAACAGAACCAGGGCTAGAGAGAGAGAGTTTAGAGAGAGAGAAATTAGAGTCGGCCCAAAGAGGACTGAAAAAAGGGTTTGGTGGATCTGGGATGGTCCTTGTTATTTCGTGTTGTTTATAACGTATGATTAGTTTTATGCCGTTGGATTGGACGGTGATTTTTGGATGGCCGCTGATCTGCCGACTTTGTTGGGCCCCACTTGACAGTTGGCTGGTCTAATAAGGATTTTGCTCAACTTTGATGGCGCTGGATAATGGGTCCCACTCCCACTTGACTACGTTGATGTCTGATTTTCGAAGAAAGAGGAACATGAAAATGGTTTGTCTACGTATTAATTGGGGGAATGTAAAGCATAGATGAAAACATCGTAGTCAACTCTCGTACCAATATTCGGAAAAAAAAAAAAAAAAAAACACTCGTACCAGTATCCCATACAACAAAAAAATCATGCAAAACGTTTTACTCCGTTTTCAAAACAAAAAAACACTCTGTACCAATATCCCATACAACAAAAAAACATGCAAAACGTTTTACTCCGTTTTTAAAAAACGGCAACACTTCTTATTCGGACGACTTTTTCGTGTTCGAATTCTGTTATTCCACCGTTTAAGTATTCGAATTCCTATAGAAACAATATTGCCATAACAGTTGAGTGTTCCGACTTCAAAATTACCTTCTCATTTTTCAAGTATATTATCAAGAATGTCATGGATCCATATAATATAATATAATGATATTGCGTAATTACTTAAACATGCAGTAATTTTTTTAAAACAATTTACCTACATTTTATTTCTATATAAAAATTTGAAGATGATGCTAAACTATAAAAATTTGAATTCTGACATTTTTATTTTGGGAGAGGACCTTGATATTAACTGAACAAATTTTTGACAAATCATCCTGCTGTTATTATGTTGACTTATTCGAGATTTGGCCGTACGTACTCAACCACACCCTTGATATTTAGAACATGTGTTCAACTATATAATTAACATTTTTTTTCTTATAAAAATCAAGGTATTATTTAATTTTTAACACTTAAAGTCACTCACTGTGGACAAACAAGTTTAGTAAAAGTTAAAATAATTAAGATTGAACAGTTTATCTATATATAATTTGTTCAAATTTCAAAAAATATTTATGTAATTTACCTTGTAAATAAGGACACGGTTTGGGAGTGGGTTGTTAACCCTATATTAGCGAATCAATAGGAGGAACTCCACCCTGACCTGGTCCAGTCAATTAAAGCTTTTCTACTTGGAAGCCCAACATATGCGTATTTTCATTATTTTTGTTAGTCGATGTTGTTGTTTGTTAACTACTATTGGACATTAGAAAATAGATTTGGTGAATTTGACACAAATTATGACCAACGTAATTTCTTACCACCAATCTATTACTCTACACAATGCGTTGGAAGGGGTACTAAAATTTAACATTATTTTGCAAACATTTATGAACCCATTTAAGGTTTTTTTTTTTTTTGGGAACGTCAACCCATTTAATGTTACTCTAGTGCATTGACTGGTTGAGGAGGAGTTCATATCTTGTGTTGTACACCAATATGTATGTACGGTGACACGTTATGTGAACTTTGACCTTTTTAACGTATTATAACACTTATGTTGTACTTCATTTGATATATATATTCAGATTAGCTTAATTAGAAAAATAAATGAAATTTTTTGATATATATTCAGATTAGTTTAATTAGCGTGAACCAAAAAGAAAAATAAATGAAATTTTTTAAAAATTTTAGCAATTTGGTTAGCTTGAAAAAAAAAAGTTATGAGGAAATTAGTATTTTCACTACTTGATTTTTTTCAAAATATTTCTTCCATAAAATATGCGATTTGGTGTGAAAATTGTATCTTTATGTATATGTTAGTTTTCTCTTATACCATTATAAGTTATTTCTCTTTGTTCTTCTTTAAACTCAAAAAAGAAGACTTTTCTTACACAAATTAATACTCCTAATTTGATTACAACTCTCTTACTTTTCAAATTAAAACTATTCGGTACACTTACAAAACAAAGTGTAGTCAGAAAATATAATGCAAACTTATCAAAAATAAAATAAAAATAAAATAAAGAGACAAACACATATATATGTGTAAACATATATATATTTATTCATAAATCCAATTGTATATGTTATTTCATTACTATTATTATTATTATTATACTTATTGCGTGATGTATATCATTTACTATTAAATTCATAAGGATAATTGTCATGTAAAATTATAAATTATTTTTCTTTCATTCTCGTGCTATCCAAACTAATTAAACAATATATTCTCACAACCAAAAAATTCATGCTAACCAATTGCATATAATAGAAAATTAATTTTATTTTCTTTCACGTTACTTTCTTTTCCTTTCACTTTCCATCATCAATTTCTAGCTAACCAGACCGACCCTTAGGGTTTTTCCACTATGATTTTTTTTTTATTATTTCAAGGCAAGAAGTCTTTCAAATATAACTTTCATAATTTTTTAGAGAGCCTTAAATTCATCATCTTTCTCCATAAATAGAAATAAATACTTCTATGACATGCATGTTGAAGATAAATTCAAATATCTCCTCTATGGTGATTTTTTGTCAGTAGCTTAATAAGTGATATTTACTTGGGCCAACTCAGCCTTGCCAACCACTCACATGCACATGAATTCTCGGAATAATTGGCTTTAGGCCCTTTAAATGGGCTCAAACCAAAACAAGCTCATTTTAAGCCATGGATGGAGTGGGCCAACAACTCGTATATTAGATGAGTTCCGGTTAGCTGGGTTTATTACAGAATCCCATACCACTTGGGCCTTCCGAAATCATGGAAGACTTGGAGTAGGGGAATGGAATTTCCTATAGAGACTGTGACAACAATTCGAAGATATTTCGGTAATAAATTTTTATATTTTTCAAAAAAAAAATATAAATCAATAAAAGTGTCCCAATAATGTCTTGATGTGATTGTAAAGTTGCTCCATGTTGGCTTGAAAGAGTTGAAGGTTAATAATCTATAATTTTTCTAAGAGAAATGATAAGTCTTCCGATCTCAATTACCGACTTTTCTTACGAATACAACGTGATTGGATCACGTTGTAATTCTTAAAAAAAATTCCGTAAACATTTCTTTCTTTTCGACTTATTTCCAATCACGTTGTATTCGAATGAGGAGTCGACAATTAAAATCGAAAGACTTATCATTATTCTTTTTCTAAATCTCCGAAATTATAGGAGTATCGTACATTAAACTCTTTTCTTTTCTTTTTCTTTTCTTTTCTTTCTTTTTTTTTTTTTTTTTTTTTATCCCAAATAAGTGCCCGCTAATGGAGAGTGTTATAATCATGACATTATAACTTTTATCTCTCCCCTTGGAGATAAGGAGTACTATGTCAGCTATCTTCTTTGTCCTCTTATTGACCAAATGCATCAATTTTAGAAAGATTGGTCCCAAATGATTTGAAAATTTCAATACAGTGGACTTTAATGTGCAATGATATTTTCAGCCGGCTCCAACACGCAAAATGGGTTGGATTCTACTCTGGATTCCACCCCCATTTATGGATGCAAAGTACAGTCACTAATTTGCTTTATATAATTCTAATTATTAGTATAAATTTTACCAAAATTTTACTTACTTTTTCTGAGGATGTTTATAAATTGAGGTTTGTCAATATTTTACACAGTGTCCCTTCATGTTTATAATTTATTTATTCTCCTGTAGTGTGTTATTTTATCGTTTTGCCTATGAACTATTTGTTATTATTTTCGGCATTGGAAGACAAAATTGACTTTCTAATCACTTATGAGGAAAGTAAGTGAGATTATAGTAAATGAAATTATGAAATATAGATGAGGTCTACGTAGAATGTTGACAAACCTCAAAAGAAGTGAGTAAAATTTATCCAAATATTTTATGAGAAGTGTTAATCAAAGTTGCATTCCTAATTGGTCAAAATTTCTAAAATCACACCATAATTAATTAAATGTCTCCTACCATTATGGTACATTTAAATTAAATTTATAGAACAAAAGTACCCTTTTTATTATTTCTTCTTTCTCCTTACTTGGATGGCATGTATATATAGATTGAGTATCTATAATTATATATGTACAAATAGCAAGCTTTTCTTTTTGTGTATATATAGATTGAGTATCTATATATACAAACAACACCTTTCCTTTTTATGTGTGTGTGTGTGTGTATATATATATATATATAGAGAGAGAGAGAGAGAGAGAGTATCTATATATACAAACAACAACTTTTCTCTTTGTGTATATATATATATTGAGTATCTATATATACAAATATTAGCTTTCTTTTTTGTGTGTGTGTGTATATATATATATATAGTAATTTTATACACACTTCGTATATAGCTAAACGACAATGAATAATACTTGCCTTAGGCCGTATAAGAAGGAGCTTCCTTTTTATGATGAGGTGGCCCAATAAAATATTAACATATAGAGAATAGAAACTAATCCTTCTCTCTTTCTCTGTCACCCAACCATATATATTGTGAACAATGCTTGCCTGCACAAAAAGAAACATCCTTCTTATGATAAGGTGACCCAATAAAATATCAATATGTGTTTAAGTTTTTTTTTTTTTAAAAAAATGATGACTACAGACAATAGAAATTGACCCTTACCTCTTTCACTCTCACGCAGAGATATATATTATTTCTCTTTTGAATCTAAAATCAAATATTGTTTTGGAGAAAACATATATATATATATATTAGATCGGCATCTTTCAGTCATATATGAGTTGAGATAAATAATCACTATAAATTCATAGAAAATGATATATAGATATCATGAATTTATTTTCATGATACCAATCCTGAGTATTATTATTTATTTTTTTAGGTTTTTTTTTTTAATATAGAAATTAAAATTTTCCTTAGATTTAAAAACTTTTTATGTTCATCTTCTTTTCTTTTTCTTTTCTCATCCCAATCTCTCATCAATTACAAAACATTCCATGTTCATATTCTTTTCTTTTGTATATAATTACAAACTTCTCATCCAAATTAAATTATTTAAAGATGATTATCACCAAATAAAATTAATAAAAATAGATCTATTAGATTTTTCTATGGAAAAAGTTATTTAATTTGGTATAAAGTGTCGTTCATACATTATATATAACATATAATTTTGCATTTGAGATAGGGAATATCATCATTCGTGATAGAGCCAATGTAGGCCTAGGGTCATTCCCTCACCTGGCCCCACTCTTTATAATATGTGGTGTATATATATATATATATATATATATATATATATATATATTCTCCATAATAATGTTTGATTTTAGATTCAAAATATAGAAATAATATATGAATAAATAAGAAATAAAAGAATCCATTAAAAAAAAAAAAAGATAAAAAAGAAAATAATCATAATCCATCGTGAGAATGATATTGAGATGTATATATATACGTATTTATATATATATATACGGATCAACTTAAAAGAAATTAAATAATTAAAATGACGCTTTTATCTTATAAGTTTATATTTAATTAACTAACAGGTAAGAATCCAAACTAATTAAGAGTGCTACAGAAACAGTCGCACATGCAATTACAATTAGCACTCAGTCATATTTTATATTATTCCCATCCAAATACTTGTGAAAGTATTAGAGTCTCAACTTATCTTCTAACTAGCGTTTTTGTGTTTAACTTTGAAAAAGTTTATATATTACAATTCTATTAAAGGTTAGTTCTTTTAAGGACTGCACAATTAATTATCATTCAAATATTATAATAATAATAATAAAATCCACTTCAAAGTGGTTTTTATATATTTTGTCAAACTTTACTTTTTAAAACTTTAGATTTCCAAATTTAGTTACTCAAAATATCACTAATTTGCAGTTGTGACCTGACCATTTATAGCACACCATTCACATACTTTATCATGATAAATAAAATTATAGAATAAAAAAAAAAATTGGAATTGTTTTAGGCAGGATGTGTGGAAATGCTTCATTGTCTCAAAATATTTTTCATGGTGTATGACAAAAAAGACCCAATAGAATTCTCACACGTGTGCATTTGTTCTAGAAAAAGTCTGATTCCAAATGTTGCGGTCTTCTTGCGATGCAACATTAAATTAAATTAGTTTGAAAAGTCGTATAAATAGTACTTGTGGTTCCTATAATAATTACCCACCCGCAACATTTCAACTACATTCTTCTTTACCTCACAAAACCTGGGAACTCTCTCTCACGCACACAAACACACACAATGGAGTCGTCTCCCCGATTCCAATTCCCGATAGACAACAAGTGTAGCGACACAATAACCCATGATTTCTCTCCCTTCTTTCGGGTACACAACGATGGCCGAATCGAAAGATTCAAAGCACCTGAGTTTGCTCCGCCGTCCGATGATCCCAACGCCGGCGGTGTCAGATCAAAAGACATCGTAATTTCACCCGAAACAGGCGTCTCCGTCCGTGTCTACATCCCACAAACCACCAACCCAGATCACAAATTCCCTCTCCTAGTCTACATCCACGGCGGCGGATTCTGCCTCGGCTCCGCCTCCTCTCCCACCTTCCACAACTTCGTCAACTCCCTGGTGGCCGAAGCCAAAGTCGTCGCTGTCTCCGTCGACTACAGATTAGCACCGGAACACCATCTTCCGATTGCACACGAAGATTCATGGGCAGCACTCAAATGGGTAGTGTCCCATTCTAGCGGACAGGGTCCGGAGCCATGGCTCAACAGTCACGCCAATTTTCAACGCGTCTTCGTCGCCGGAGAGAGTGCCGGAGCTAACATTGCCAACGAGGTTGTCATACGGGCCGGAGTTGGTGATGAATTGAATGGGGTGAAGATTGTGGGGCTTCTTTTGGTACAACCATTTTTTGGAACTAAGGAAGCTGATAAAATGTACCAGTTTATGTGTCCGAGTAGTAGCGGGTCGGATGACGACCCGAGACTGAACCCGGCTGTGGATCCGAGGCTGCCGAGACTCGGGTGCAGGAGGGTGTTGTTTTGTATTGCAGAGAAAGATTTTTTGAGGGATAGGGGATGGGGTTATTATGAGGCATTAAAGAAGAGTGGGTGGGGTGGTGAGTTGGAGAGTATGGAGACGGAAGGGGAGGGACATGGGTTTCATTTGTTCAACCAGTCTTGTGACAAGGCTGTGACCCTACTCAACCGGTTGGCTTCTTTCTTGAACAAGGACTAGTCATAATGTAATGGTTGGGAGGTCCCCATCGCTCGTTTTTTTTTTTTTTTTTGGCATTATAGAGTTGGAATAAAGTATTTTGTTTGCATTATAGAGTAGGAATAAAGTTTTTTGTTTGCATTATAGAGTTGGAATAAAGTTTTTGTTTATTGATTTAACAATATAAAATAAAGGATTTTGATGGTTATAGTTGTGCTGTGTATTTCAATGCCATATTTTTTTTTTAGGGTTAGGGACATTCTTTCAAATTTGGCTAAATATTACATTGAAAAATAATTATAGTTTTTCATTTACACTTTAAAAGTTATTAAGTGTGTCAGATGCCTTTTTGCACGTAAAATAATATTGCTACCCTTCAACTATCTATTGACTTAAAAAATGATTGAAATGACTTAAATACCATTTGATCTTCATTATATAAATTTAAAATTATTCTTTATATATATATATAAAATAATTTTTAAAAAATATTACATATTGGTTGGTGTACATGATGGGAAAAAAATATTATAAATTGGTTGGTGTACATGGTGGGAAATATATAAATTGGTTGGGGTACATGGTGAGAAATATATATATATATACATGTACACCAACCAAATAATTATTATAAATTTATAATCATTCTTTAGTTAAATATATAATCATGTACACCAACCCGATTTCTCATCCTTTTCTTCTTTTATATATATATATATATATATATATATATATATATATATATATATATCTTTTTCTTTTTTTATTTTACTTTATTTTCTTTGTGCTGTGTATTTCAATGCCATTTTTTTTTTAGGGTTAGGGACATTCTTTCAAATTTGGCTAAATATTACGTTAAAAAATAATTATTGTTTTTCATTTACATTTCAAAAGTTATTTTTTAAATATGTCAGATACCTTTTTGCATGTAAAATAATATTGCTACCCTTCAACTATCTATTGACTTAAAAAATGATTGAAATGACTTAAATACCATTTGACCTTCATTATATAAATTTAAAATTATTCTTTATATATATATATATAAATATATGTATATAAAATAATTTTTTAAAAATATTATAAATTGGTTGGTGTACATGATGGGAAAAAAATATTATAAATTGGTTGGTGTACATGGTGGGAAAAAAACAAATAATTATTTCCCAACCAAATAATTATATATTTCCCACCATGTACACCAACCAAATAATTATTATAAATTTATAATCATTCTTTAATTAAATATATATTCATGTACACCAACCCGATTTCTCATCCTTTTCTTCTTTATATATATATATATATATCTTTTTCTTTTTTTATTTTACTTTATTTTCTTCTTCTTCGTTACTGCTCGCAAGATTAGATTTTGGCCTTAGTTAGACCCAAAATCGGCGAGCTTCAACAGATTCAAAATCGGTGAACTTCAACATACCCAAATCGGTGAGTTTCAATAGACTCAAAATCCGTAAATTTCAAAAGACCTAAATCGGTGAAATAGACAAAACCACAACTCCTTAATGAGTAAATAGATGTCCAACTAAAACCAAAACTACGTTCTGATCCAACCAAGACCTATCAAAAAGTCTCATTGCAACCTTATATATATATATATATATATATATATATAAGGCTTGAAGTTTGGTCAATTGGGGATTATGGAGAAGATGATAAGTAGAAGAAATAAAGGGCTTTATAACCGCACCTGCAAAGTTTGAGATCGAAATTCGCAATCTCGGACGATTATTGTGTTTGCTAAATCTATATATTTATATTTATATTATATATATATATATTTATACGATATATATAATATTTTATAAATTTATATTATATATATATGTGTGTGTGTGTGTGTGTGTGTAGAGAGATACGGCTGTAAATGACGGTAATTTGGTCATTTTAGGATTTTGATATTTTAGATTAAAATAGATTAAAAAAAAGGGATAAAATTGTTATTTTGCACATTTTTAATGGAAAAAGTAACAGAAAAGGAAATTGGGGTCTGAATGATAGTTAATTTAAAAAGATGTTTGAGGGTGATATTTGATCAAACCTAAAGAAGTATCAGTGAAATTAACATTTAAAAAAATAAAATAGAAAGAGCTTTATTCCAACCAAATCTTCATGTTACAAATCGTGTTCGTGATAAGTGGGATTGGGTTTGGCGTAATTTTGTCGATCCGAATTGACACGATAATTAAATATGTCGTATTCATGTTTGATCTGTCAACCCATTTATAATCCGAATAACTAAACGTGTCACGTAAACGTATTGCGTTCGTATTAAAAATGACCTGTTTAGTTAAATGTGTTGAATAAATGTATCGTGTTCATGTCAGAAATGACTTAAACGTGTCTTGTCGTATTGTTTCGTGCCGTATTAAGTCTTGACTCATTTATTAAACAGGGTACGCGTACCGTATCATATTACTTATGTAATAATCGTGTCGTGTTCATGTCCAAATTGTTTGACACGAATAATAATCATGTCGACTTATTTAACTGAATACTCATACTTTAATACGATACGAATTATCACACCCCTACTCTCGTGAATTTGATAAAATTTAATTTTCATTCACGTGGGCTACTTTAAAAAATTCAAATTTTTAGACTTTCCAACGCTTTACAAGATACAAATGAGACGCAAGCCCCGACTTTACTTCTACAAATAACCCCTTGGTTTGTACATTATCGGTAAATGACATAAAATTTGAGTTGTTATATTTTGACAATTCTTTTCTTTAGTTTTGTTTTTTGTTTTTTCCAAATAATATGAAGAAGGATAAGTCTACCCCACAAGAGGAAAAAAAAGAGCCCACTCTGAGCTTTCTCTCAACCCCATCATTGAATACATCCACAATTTCATTTCGCTATTGATTTTCGTTTAGAGCTTCTCTCTCCTTAGAAGCATTCGATTCAGGTGTGATACTGGTGCAAATTACTTCGGTTTGTACACAAATCTTTGGTTTGGTTCAGGTAATTTCATCTCTAGTTTGATTTGATTTTCTTTTTGGTTGGAATTAGTTCTTTGATGGAATAATCTTTTCCAGCAGGAATAATCTTTAGTTCAATAAAGTTAACAGAAAGGTATTGATATATTCTTTTGGTGTATTTCAATTGGGAAATATTATAATTTAGACAAGAATAAATTTGAACTTTAGGATTGTCCTCCCTTTAAGAATTCACCAATGAAGGTGCAAGATTTCTTTTTCCAAAAAGAAGGGTTTAAATCTAGCCATGATGAATTTATTTATTTTTTTGAGAAAACAGGCAGTTTGACTAAGGATTCTAGAATTCCAGTATTAGGTTCATATATATATTTTTTTAAATTGAATTTTCACCATGCTAGTTAAAATTTTTAGGTTGGGGGGCTTGATGGGTATGAGGGATCTTTTCCATTGATGTAGCTCATTTTCAATCACCTTCTTCATAGACCTGTCATTTGAGTATTTGTGATCAGTAGGATTAAAGTGAATAGATAAATCACAATCACATTTAGCAAATTTGAAGCTCACATGAACCACTACTTCAAATAATGGACTACTTTAACTTCGAAAATAATAATAATAATAATAATGGACTTCTTTGTACTCATACAATTAATAATTTGAAAATTGAAGCAATTGCTGGGGAGTGGGGACCTAGTGTTTTCTACTTGTCTGTTAGATAGTATTTAGTACAACAAATTAGACACATCTTTGCTGGTAGTTTATCGAGTTCAGCCCTCCATTCTGACCTAATTCTAGCTCGGTAGTATTCATTTACAAATTAGTACAGAGCTTTGCTAGTAGAATGTGCATCCTGGCCTAACTCATTCCTCTACAATTCAATCTTTTTTATTTGAAAACATAAAATTGAGGACAAAACATCACGGATTAATTTTTTTTATTTTTGTGCGATCAGTCTTCTTTGAAGCAATGGGTTCAAGCAAGAGTGAAGTGGTCCATGATTTTCACCCTCTGTTTCGAGTATATAAAGATGGTCGTGTTGAGAGATTTATGGATGCGGATATTGTCCCACCTTCTGATGACCCCAAGACCGGTGTTCAATCCAAGGACATCATCATATCACCGGAAACTAATGTATCCGCCCGCCTCTTCCTCCCCAAAACCACCCACTCAGCTCACAAACTCCCTCTCCTCATATACATCCATGGTGGTGCTTTCTCAGTCCTATCACCCTTTGCTTCTCTCTTCCATAACTATCTCAACTCTCTAGTTGCCGAAGCAAACGTTGTAGCCGTGTCCATTGACTACAGGTTAGCCCCAGAGCACCCAATCCCTGCTTGCTATGATGATTCGTGGACGGTCATGCAATGGGTGGCTCTGCATGCTAATGGCCAAGGCCCTGAACCCTGGCTTAATGACCACGCAGACTTTGGGCGGGTTTTCTTGGCTGGTGACAGTGGTGGAGCAAATATTGCCCATGATATGGCCATCCGAGCTGGTGTTGATGGAGCAAATATTGGTGTGAAGCTTGTTGGTATGGTTTTGTTACATCCCTTCTTTGGGAATGACGAACCTGACAAACTGTGGATGTTTATTTGCCCAGAAACTAGTGGGTGCGATGACCCAAGGCTAAATCCAGCTGCCAATTCTAGTGTGTTGTCGAGGTTGGGGTGCACCAAGGTGCTGGTTTGCACTGCGGAGAAAGACAACTTGAGACAGAGGGGCTTGACCTACTATGAGGCATTGAAGAAGAGTGAGTGGTGTGGTGTGGTTGAGATTATGGAGACAGAAGGGGAGGATCATGTCTTCCATTTGTTCAACCCAACTTGTGAAAAGGCTGGGACCCTGATGAATAGGGTGGCTTCCTTCATTAATCAGGACCAGCCCCCTTCTTTGTCATAATCTGTTCTCTTAAATTATTTATTTATTTATTCATTTATTTCTAAGCTTCTGTTAAACCTGCAAAAAAGAGAGAGGAGGGGGGCAGGGGAATAAGTTGTTGTAATTTCTATTAATTATATACTGTAATGTAATGTGGATTTTTCTTTTTTGGGTAATGGTTTTTGTTGTTGTGATTGATGGGTACCAAAATCAAAAATATGTAATGTACTGAAGCTATTCAAATAATCCGTGGACACCCAAACACATTCTAACACAACTGGTTTGGTTAGCACTAGGCATTTTTCATACTTGGACCTTTCTATTATGCTACTAGCTTCATATTGCAGGAGTGACATGACAAATCTTTGCAAACCTGGAAATGCACCATTAAAGATAGATTGACCTAACTAACTGAACTTTTTAATGAGATTTTGTGTTTTACCTTCTTCTTTTTTCATATATATATATATATATTCATTTGTATTTATTGGACTAAAAACCTGAATAATCAGGAGCAAATAAGAAATTGAACGGTCAGAAATTGAGATACGTTTCAGTCATACTGTTGCCCATTTAAGCATAAAAGGTTTACACGATTAGTCTCCACAAGTAGGTCATCTTAAGCCGCAAATTAAAATAGGCCAAAAATATTAAGATTTGCGTTTCATGTGGTATAAGTTCTTCCAACTAGTCAGAGCTGTGTTTAGCATTATTCTTTCTAACATTTCACAATCATGACTCACTACATTTTTTCCCTAGTTATGACTCGTGACATTGAACTAGTCAAAGCAGATAACTAGTTATACACACAATTAATTCAAGCACAAACTGTATAACCTCCCATTGTATTCACATTCTCCAGATGTTCATATAATTCTTCCTCATCCGAATTGTTTTTGCAATGGATTCAGCAAATTCAGAGGTGGCCATGAATTCCGCTACTCAAAGATGGCCTCCATCAGATGATCCCAACAGTGCGGTTTTGCTCTTGTGTTTTACTCTAAGTCTCATATTGGAAATAATACCACCACATATAAGTACTTCACATTTTCCTTACCAGACAATGTGAGATTGTGCGCCCGTAATTCGCCCAGTGTGGTAGCCTGCCAGTGTCTTACACCTGCCCACAAGATTACCACATCAATAGTCAAATAGTGCTCGGATGATGAATGATAACTTAAAGTTTTGAACTTATTTTGCTCTAAAATTATAAAAATATATAAACCAAATTAATTTAGCACTTTTATCTGCAAGTTACCATCAATTATTTTTAATTTCATTTTAAAATTTTCTTTCACCATTTGATTTCCAAATTAATTTTATTTATCATTTGAGCTATTTTACTATCTCAAAATATGATTTAAGTTATAATTACGTGCATTGAACCTGGTTTTATCTAGCGTATATATATATTTATATATTTCTCATTATGTACACCAACCAATTTATAATTATTTTTTAAAAATTATTTTTATATATATAATGAGGAGAAACTTGGTTGATGTACATGATAAAAAATTATAAATTTATAATAATTATTTGGTTGGTGTGCATGATGATATATATATCTTTTTCTTTTTTTCTTTTTATTTTATTTTATTTTCTTCTTCTTCATTACTATCGACAAGAGAGGAGTCTCAGTTAGACCCAAAATCGGCGAGCTTCAACAGACTCAAAATCGGTGAGCTTCAATATACCTAAATCGGTGAGCTTTAATAGACTCAAAATTCGTAAATTTCAAAAGACCCAAATCGGTGAGACAGACAAAACCAAAGCTCCTTGCTAGGTAAATAGATGTCCAACCGAAACCAAAGCTACGTTCTGATCCAACCGAGACCCATCGAAAAGTCTCATTGCACAATAATATATATATATAAGGCTTCAAGTTTTGGTTAATTGGGGTTCTGGAGAGATGATAAGTAAAAGAAATAAAGGAATTTATGACGGCACTTGCATCGTTCGAGATCAAAATTCACAATCTCAGACGATTATTGTGTTTGCTAAATAAATATATATAAATATATATATATATATATATATATTTATAAATAAATATAATATTATATTATATATATGTATGTATTTATGTATGTATACAGAGAGACTGCAAATTGGCAGTAAAAGAGTGAGATGAAGAGTGTACAAAGTAATAAATGAGGGCAATTTGGTCATTTTAGGATTTTGATATTTTGGATTAAAATAGATTTAAAAAATAGGGATAAAATTGTCATTTTGCACATTTTAAACTGAAAAAGTAACCGAAAAGGAAATTGGGATTTGAGAGCAACTTCAATGGGATGTTATTTGGGCTTCTATTTTCAAAATATAGCATGTGGGTTTAAAATGAGCTCTCCAATGGCATGTCAAATGAGCTGTCAAAATATAATTTTGCCAAATATTGTGCCAAATATAGCACAACATATAGCTATTGTCAAATATGCTATTGCTCTCTTCCTTTTCTCTTCTTTCTCGCATGGTGTGCTTTTGTATATATATATGTTAGTTGTGCTTGTATATATATATATATATGTCAGTGTTTTTATCTGTTATTTTATAATAAGACAAATAAGCTAAATAAAATACAAACACTCAAAAAAAAAAAAAAAAAAAAAATGGTTGTTGAAAATTGTGGTTGGGAATGGTAGTTGAAAAATAATGATTGTTGTGTCAACAAATAGTATTTTGGATGAAATGCACCATTGGAGCAGAATTGCTAAAATATAGCATTTTGACATTGTAACTCCTCTCAAAATATAAATTTGGTATGCAAAAATGGCATTTTGCATTGGAGATGGTCTGAGTGATAGTTAATTTCGAAAGATGTTTGATGGTGATATTTGGCCAAACCTGATGGGGTGTCAGTGAAATTAACTTTTTTTTTTATTTTTTTTATTTTTATTTTTTATTTTTAAAATAGGGTTTTATTCCAACCAAATCTTCTTGCTACAAATCGTGTTCGTGATAAGTGGGTTTGGGTTTGGCGTAATCGTGTCAATCCGAATTGACATGGTAATTAAATATGTCGTATTCGTGTTTGACCATTAAACCCGTTTATAACCCGAATAATTAAACGTGTCACGTAAACGTATCGTGTTCATATTAAAAATGACCCGTTTAACTAAATGTGTTGAATAAACGTATCGTGTTTAGGTCAGAAATAACTTAAAGGTATCTTATCATATTGTTTCGTGCCGTGTTAAGTTTTGACTTATTTATTAAATAAGTTACATGTATCGTATCGTATTACCTGTGTAATAATCGTGTTCGTACCAGGATTTCTTGACACGAATAATAGCCGTGTCGACCCATTTAACATAATATTTATATTTTAATATGACACGAATACAATCCGCCAACATAAATGGTTACCCTTAATCTCACGTGCATGAATTTGATAAAATTTAAATTTTTTTTTTCTTGTGCATGACTTTAAAAAATTCAAATTTTTAGACTTTTCATGAGATACAAGCCCGACTTACTTCTACAACTAACCCCTTCGTTTGTACATCATCGGTCCATCTGTAATGATATAATATTTGAGTTGTTATATTTTGACAATTCTTTTGTTTTGTTTTGTCTTTTGCTTTTTCCAAATAATATGAAGGAGGAGAAGTCGTCGATGTAGTAATAAGAGCCCAATTCGCCTCCTCACGCGCTCCTACCTCTGTATCTGTGTCTCTGAGCTTTCTCTCAAACCCATCATTGAATACATCCACCATTTCATTTCGTTATTGATTTTCGTTTAGAGCTTCTCTCTCCTTAGAAGCATTCGATTCAGGTGTGATACTGGTGCAAATTACTTCGGTACGTACACAATCTTTGGTTTGGTTCTGGTAATTTCATCTCTAGTTTGATTTTATTTTCTTTTTGGTTGGAATTAGTTCTTAAATTGAATAATCTTTTCCAGCATGAATAATCTTTAGTTAAATAAAGTTAACAGAAAGGTATTGATATATTCTTTTGGTGTATTTCAATTGGGAAATATTATAATTTAGACAAGAATAAATTTGAACTTTAGGATTGTTCTCCCTTTTAGAGAACACCAATGAAGGTGCAAGATTTCTTTTTCCAAAAAGAAGGGTTTAAATCTAGCCATAAGGATTATAGAATTCCAGTATTAGGTTCATTTTTTTTTTTTAATTGAATTTTCACCATGCTAGTTAAATTTTTTAGGTTGGGGAGCTTGATGGGTATGAGGGATCTTTTCCATTGATGTAGCCCATTTTCAATCACCTCTTCGTAGACCTGACATTTGAGTATTTGTGATCGGTAGGATTAAAGTGAATAGAGAAATCACAATCACCTTTAGCAACTGTGAAGCTCACATGAAACACTACTGCAAATAATGGACTACTTTAACTTCCAAATAATAATAATAATAATAATAGTCTCTCTGTCGCAAAAAAAAAAATGTCACAGGACATCTTTTTTGTGGGATGGAGGTAGTAATAATAATGGACTTCTTTGTCTTCATACAAGTAATAATTTGAAAATTGAAGCAATTACTGGGGAGTGGGGACCTAGTGTTTTCTACTAGTCTATTAGATAGTATTTAGTACAACAAATTAGACACATCTTTGCTGGTAGTTTATCGAGTTCAGCCCTTCATTCTGACCTAATTCTAGCTCGGTAGTATTCATTTACAAAATATTACAGAGCTTTGCTAGTAGAATGTGCATCCTGGCCTAACTCATTCTTCTACAATTCAATCTTTTTTCTTTGAAAACATAAAATTGAGGACAAAACATCATGGATTAATTTTTTTGTGTGATCGGTCTTCTTTGAAGCAATGGATTCGAGCAAGAGTGAAGTGGTCCATGATTTTCACCCTCTGTTTCGAGTATATAAGGATGGTCGTGTTGAGAGATTTATGGTCGCGGATATTGTCCCACCTTCTGATGACCCCAAGACCGGTGTTCAATCCAAGGACATCATCATATCACTGGAAACTAATGTATCCGCCAGCCTCTTCCTCCCCAAAATCACCCACTCAGCTCACAAACTCCCTCTCCTCATATACATCCATGGTGGTTATTTCTCAGTCCTATCACCCTTTGCTTCTCCCTACCATAACTATCTCAACTCTCTAGTTGCCGAAGCAAACGTTGTAGCGGTGTCCATTGACTACAGGTTAGCCCCAGAGCACCCAATCCCTGCTTGCTATGATGACTCGTGGACAGTCATGCAATGGGTGGCTCTGCATGCTAATGGCCAAGGCCCTGAACCCGTTGCCCATTTAAGTATACAAGGTTTACACAATTAATCTCCACATGTAGATATCTTAAGCTAAATTACATAAAGCGACAGTGAGAGCGGAAGAATTAAGTCATGAGCAGGGAGAATTTGAGCGAGAATACTAGCGGAGCGCGAGAGCGGGAGCGCGTTCGGAGTATGAGAATGACACTTGTTGATAAGGATTATGTGACTTAAAATTCTTAAGCCCCTAATTAAAATAGGCCAAAAATATTAAGATTTGCGTTTCATGTGGTATAAGTTCTTCCAACTTGTCAGAGCTGTGTTTTGCATTATTCTTTCAACACTTCACAATCATGACTCACCACATTTTTTCCCTAGTTATGACTCGTGACATTGAACTAGTCAAAGCAGATAAAACAACAATTGTTTGTATCTTTTCAGGAAATTTGCTACAGATTTGCAGGAAAATGGTGGAAGACTTGCCGGTATGTCTTTAAAAAAGAAAAAAGAAAAGTGTCCTTGACTTGCTAGTCAATATACATGCATGTATACACATAATGAATTCAAGCACAAACAGTAACCTCCCATTGTCTTCACATCCTTCAGATATTCTTATAATTCTTCCTCATCCGAATTGTTTTTGCAATGGATTCAGCAAATCCAGAGGTGGCTGTGAATTCCGCTACTTCGGGGTATACAAAGATGGCCACCACCCCAACAGTACTGGCGGTGTCCGGCGGTCAAAAGACTTGGTAATTTCAGCCGAAACAGGCGTCTCCGTCCTTGTCTACATCCCACAAACACCAACCCAGATCACAAACTCCCTCTCCTAGTCTACATCCATGGCGGCGGATTCTGCCTCCTCTCCCATCTTCCACAACTTCGTCAACTCTCTCGTTGCGGAAGCCAACATAGTCGCTGTCTCCGTGGACTACAGATTAGCACCGGAACACCCTCCACGCGAAGATTCATGGACACTTGGACGGCATTCAAATGGGTAGTGTCCCATTCTAATGGACTAGGTCCCGAGCCATGGCTCAACAATCATGCCGATTTTCAATGTTGCCGGAGCGAACATTGCCAACGAGGTTGTCATACCGGCAGGAGTTAGTGATGAATTGCATGGGGTGGAGCTTGTGGGACTTCTTTTGGTTCAAACATTTTTTGGTTGCAAGGAAGTTAATGAAATGTACAAGTTTATGTGTCCGACTAGTAGTGGGTCGGATGATGACCCCCCGAGACTGAATCTGGCCGTGAATCCGAGGTTATCGTGAAACCCGTCACATCCTGTTATCGGATTGAATCGGAGAGGTCCGGATCTGTCTTGTACTTAGAATCTTTGTAACGATGTCGTTTTGATTTATGATCTCAGCAGAGGAGTCACTTCAAAACAATAACAAAAAGAAGAGTCCAATTCGCGTCTTCACCACTTCATGGTGCACATACACTCTCTCTCTCTCTCTCTACAGATATCGACTTTCTCTCAGATTGATTCCTTGAGTTTTCTCTCAAACCCATCGTTGAATACTTTCACCACTTCATTTCGCTCCCCTTAAAAGCATTCAAATCAGGTGCAATTCACTTCGGCTTGTACACCAACCTTTGGTTTGGTTGTTTCGGGTAATTTCATCTCTAGTTCGATTTTATTCTATTTTTGGTTTGAATTACGCATTTGATGAAATAATCTTTTCGACCATGAATAATCTTTAGTTCAATAAAGTTAATAAAAATGAATTGATATATTGTATGAATTGATGTTATTTAATTTTTGTTAAATATTTGAAATTGATGTTTGATGTTCGATGTTTGATTTGGGAAATATTGACCTAATTTTGTTCTATACCTTTTGTGTACTTAAATTGGAAAGTATTATAATTTAGACCAAAATAAATAAATAGACAGAACATTGCTGGTAGAGTTCAGTCCTCTATTCTGACCTAATTCTAGTTGAGTAGTATTCAGTTACAAAAACATTTAGACAGAGCTTTGCTGGTAGAGAGTGCATCCTGACCTAACTCATTCCTCTAGCATTCAATATATTTCTCTCAAAACATAAATCCGAGGACAAAACATCATGGATTAACTTTTTATGTGATCAGTCTTCTTCGGAGCAATGGATTCAAGCAAGAGTGAAGTAGTCCATGATTTTCACCCTCTATTCCGAGTATATGAAGATGGTCATGTTGAGAGATTTATGGACACGGACACCGTCACACCGTCTGATGACCCCAAGACCGGCGTTCAGTCCAAGGACATCGTCATATCACCGGAAACCAATGTATCCGTGCGCCTCTTCCTCCCCAAAACCACCCACTCAGCTCACAAACTCCCTCTCCTCATATACATCCATGGTGGTGCTTTCTCAATCCAATCACCCTTCTCTTCTCTCTACCATAACTATCTCAACTCTCTAGTTGCTGAAGCAAATGCTATAGCAGTGTCCATTGACTACAGGTTAGCCCCAGAGCATCCAATCCCTGCTTGCTATGATGACTCGTGGACAGTCATGCAATGGGTGGCTCTGCATGTTAATGGCCTAGGCCCCGAACCCTGGCTAAATGACCATGCGGATTTTGGGCGAGCTTTCTTGGCTGGTGACAGTGCTGGAGCAAATATTGCCCATGATATGGCCGTCCGAGCTGGTGTTGATGGATTAGGGTTTGGTCTGAAGCTTGTTGGAATTGTTTTGGTACATCCCTTCTTTGGGAATGGTAAACCTGACAAACTGTGGATGTTTATTTGCCCAGAAACTAGTGGGTGTGATGACCCAAGGCTAAATCCAGCTGCCAATCCTAGTTTGTTTTCGACCTTGGGGTGCACCAAGGTGTTGGTTTGCACTGCAGAGAAAGACCACTTGAGACAGAGGGGTTTGACCTACTATGAGGCATTGAGGAAGAGTGAGTGGTGTGGTGTGGTCGAGTTTATGGAGACAGAAGGGGAGGATCATGTTTTCCATTTATTCAACCCAACTTGTGAAAAGGCTGGGACCCTGATGAATAGGGTTGCTTCCTTCATTAATCCGGACCAGGCTCCTTCATTGTTATAATCTATTCTTTTTCCCTTTTATTTTTTGCAAATTCTTCTAAGCGTTTGTTAAACTGGCAAAGGGGAAAGAGGGGAATTGTAGTATGAAACAATCAAACGATGTCATCGTAATTTCTAATCATTGTATACTGTAATGTAATGTGGATCATTCTTTTCTTTTCTTTTTGGGTAATGTTTCTTGTTATTGTGATTGATGTACCAAAATCAATATGTATCATGTACTGTCACGAGGTTGTTACATGTACTGAAACTATTCAAATAATCAGGGGACACCCGAAGACATGATTTTAAGTCCCAAATTAAACTATTGACATAATGAATAATGTGATAGACTGCAAGTATGTGTTGTTCTCTAGGATCAGCTCTCTATATAACCGAATAGATAATCTGGTTAGACCAAAATATTAAGATTTGAATCTTTAAGTGGGGATAAGTTCTTCTGACTAGACAGTTGTTCTGTTTTACATTACTCTTTTTAGTCTTGCTAATGCCCTTCTTTCACAATCATGACTAATGTAATTGAACTAGTCAAAGCCTCCTCAATATGGTGCAAACAATTCTTGGTATCTTTCCAAGAAATTTACAAAAGATTTGCAGGAAAATGGTGGAAGACTTGCGAGATTGTTCGTTGCTAGACATTCTTGGTAAAATTATTGCATAGGGAGCCAGTAATATGTGGTTGGATTATATTTGGAGAAAATGTGAAATTATTGCATGCTTACTCTATAATTATTTCAAAATTGATCCGAAAATGATACTGTATAAAGTTTCACAGAGATCGGACTTAAGAGTAATTGGGGTTGACGTATTCATAACGTTTACTCACATCACAGTCGAGTTGTCAGGTGAATCGTCGTGAATCATAGTCGGTAGCTATTGAGTTGGCAGACCAAAGTCACCCAACAAACATAAGAAACCAAAGGAATCATTCTGTAAACAAGGAAAAGTGCTGAGTCTTCTCTCTCTCTATATATATATACACACACATAAGTAAATCCAAGCACAAACTGTATAACCCTTCCATTGTACCTCCAGAGATTCTTATAATTCTTCCTCATCTTAATTGCTCTTGCCATGGACTCAGCAAATCTAGAGGTGGCCCATGAATTCCGCTTCTTCAAGGTGTACAAAGACGGCTGTGTCGAGAAGTTCTTTTGGCCAACCCAAAAAATCCCGCTGTCCGACGACTCCGTCACCGGCGTTTAATCCAAAGATATCATCTCGTCTGAACCCGAAATATCGGCTCGGATCGTTCTGCCTAGATTATTCGACCCATGTTAGAGGCTTCCCCTCCTCCTCTACATCCACGGAGGCGGATTCTCCTTCGAGTCCGCTTTCTCTCCCCTCTACCAACCCCACATCAGAGCCATTGCCGTGAAGGCTAATGCTATCGCCATCTCAGTGGAGTACATGCTAGCCCCAGAGCACCCGATACCCGCCTACCACAAGGACTGTTGGGAAGCACTCCAGTGGGTTGCGTCCCACGCTAATGGAAACAGTCCCGACCCATGGATTAACAAGCACGCGAATCTTGATCGGGTATTCATAAGGGT